CACAGACACACAGACACACAGACACACAGACACACAGACACACAGAGACACACACACACACACACACAACACACAACACACAGACACACACACACACACACACACACACACACACACACACACACACACACACACACACACACACACACACACACACACACACACACACACACACACACACACACACACACACACACACACACACACACACACACACACACACACACACACACACACACACACACACACACACACACACACACACACACACACACACACACCAACAACAAAAAAACGGACACCCTCAAAAAATGACAGACCCAACATGCCCTTCTCTCAGTCAGGGGCGCATGTGCACCAGGTACAAGCTGGCATGGATGGGCACCAGCCAAACCGGGCTGGCCGCGCGGAAGGAGGCGCACTTCATCATGCCTCGAGGCCGTCCGATCCGCGGGTTGATGCGCTCGGTGACCCCCCCCCGTTCTTTTGGTGGATTTCGATGGGTTGTTTTTTTGGGCTCGACCTACCCCCCCTCTCTTTCAGATGTGTTTGATATCACTTTCCATCACAAATCACCTCCCCACTCTCCTCTTTTTTGGTGGATGTCGGTGGATTCCTCTTGGGATCGACCCCCCTTTTGGTTTGCTTCAAAGGTCCCCCTCTCGTTCAGACTCAGATGTGTATGATCACTCACAAATTCACAAAACACATCCACACCAACACCCGCTCTCCTCTTCTTTTTTGGTAGATGTCTTTGGTTTCCGTTTGGGGTTCGAACCTCCGGTTTGGCTTTCTTCAAAAGGTGGGTGTCCGGTTTCAAACAACTAAGGGGCTGCCATGTTTAGGCAAGTTTTATTTGAGTGGCGTTCATTGGAGGTACCCTCTTTTTGAAGGGGCCCAATCTTCTTTGGGAACCCCGGCCAAAAATCATCCCATTTGGTTCTTGGATATCTTCCATGCTATCTAACAGGGGACTTTGGCTCAAACCCTGTACTTGGTCGGTTGTCCTGTGTCCACGGTAAGCCCGCTCAGCTTGTGAATTTGACCGAGGACTGTAGACTGACCGCAAGGCACCTTACCAATCCCCCCGAAGCACCTCCCTAAGATCTGCAATCGTTTGGTGTGCCTCGGTGCCTTACGTGGGTGTGCCTCAAAAGAGAACAGCGGACCTCAAACTCAAATATACTCCTTGTCCTTTTGGTTTCCCTTTTTTAACACAAGAAACAAAAAGGGCGCCCTAAGAACAAAAACCACACGCCCATAAGTTGGCCTTTCTTGGCCTCTGCGAACCGCTCGCGCCGCTCGAAGCGCGCGCCTGCCAGTGCCAGGAGTTGGGAGCCAATCATGGGGTGCGGCACGTAGCCATACCTCGGCGATGTGCGATAGGCAGGGAACGAGTACTGACCCCGAGAAAAACCATCCCCCAGGTGGTGTCCTTTAAGGGAAATCCGAGGCTCGTTCCCCTCACTCCCGACTGAGCACCAAGAAAAAGGCCCGTGCCACGGGGCGCTGCACATTTACAGACCATCCTGACTTCGTTTGACTCCCTGACAGGTAGACCTTCCTCCTGTGTTTTGATCATCTCGAGGCTCGGAGCAATGACAACTTTTCTTGCCATAGGGCATCGCTCTCCCTACAAAACCTGCGGGTCTTTTCATGTCTTAGAACCTTGGGGTAACGTCAGTTCCACTCTTCAGGACTAGTGATGGCAGGAGAAAAAAAACGGGAAAACGAGCACCGCCCACGGTGTCGATGCTTGGAAACTAGCCAAGTGACTGACTGAGCTATGTGAATCCTTCTATGACTCACTTCCTCAGGCAATCCACCCTCCAGGCAACCTCTGCATTTTCTCCCCAAAATGTGTTGCCCTTGGAATCATTCAGCAAAATTACACGGACAAAGAGCGGGGCAAACAACGATAAAAAGTGGGGCCAACCCCACAATCCCAACATCTATGGTGCAAGTGTCATTCGCATGGGTGTTCTTCTGAGAAAAACGTGCTGGGATTCCACTGGAAAAGGCCCATCTTTTCCTGTTGACCCGCCCTAGAAGGACCTAAGGATGCTGCCAGACCCAGAACCCCAAATGTTGCTCTCACCTGGTTTAATTCAATAAACGTCTTTTGTTTGTACCCTTTTGACCCACTGTCCTCTTCCCTTTTGGCAACTGGGTGAGTGTGCCCCAGGTTATTCCCTGTATCATAGATGACAGCAAAGACTGTCTTCTGAGAAACAGCAATGGTTTTTTTGGAGAAGGATCGTCGAAGCAAATAAAACCGGTGGAGCCCATCTGTTCCAGAAACCACCCATTTGTGGGCTGCCCCATTTGAAGACACAAGAAAACGCCTCCCAACAAGACAACCAGGAAAGCCCAAGAGCCAAGTGGGCCTCGCAGGCAATGCGAAAGATCAAACTCCCTTAATCTCCTTCCCCACAGGTGGGCCCTACCTTCCCTTTGGTTAAGACCCCTGGAAAAAACTAAACAAACATATGTCCAGTGATAAATTCCATTTTTGAAACCAACAAGGGAAATCAAAACAAATATTCTTAAGCAAATGGAAGCTAACCATCTGCAATTTTACCTTGAGCTCGCATAACCCAACCCCGGTCGAGCTGAAACCTTGTGCGTGCGGGCGGCGGGAAGTCGGCCACCCTCAAGGGCTCGCACTTGCCGAGCTCTGAGCCGAAGTAGGTGCCTGGGCTGAGTCTCTGGGGTTTTTCGATGGGTCTGCCTGAATGAGGCTGGTACCCAAAGCTTCGGGGGGTTCAATTTCAAGGGAAGGGTTCAATTTCGATTTCAAGCTGGAAACCAGGTTCGGGGTCAATTTCAAGGAGTATTTTCCGTTGGTTTCTCTGACCCGAAAAGGGAAGGCTCGTGAAATGGCTTGGTTACGTGAAGGGGATGCCCTTTTTCCCATGCCCAAAACGGTTGAAAAAGAACCAAGGTGTGACCTAAACATACCTAAACCCAGGCACAAGCCAAGGTGCAGGAGTAAGTTGGTTCAGAATACCCTCCCACCTTGCACCAGGGGATTTGGCGGTTCCAGGTGCAATGTGCTTTTTTAGAATACCCTCCCACCCATTGACGTGCACACTCCCGTTTGCAAAAAAGGGAGTTGGGGCTTCGTCGCCCTGCCTGCTTCACCAAGCTCACAGGCGCAGAAAAGTATCAGCAACTTGGACAGCTGATTTTGCGCTGCCCAGAAGTGGGTGGAAAGCTTTATGTTAAGCGCGGGGATCAGCCCTCCGAACAACCTCAAGCCTCGCAAAACGCTCCAAGTCTCCTTGCCTCTACGGCAACCTGTGTTCTAGACTCCCCCAATTCTGCGTGTCTCTCGTAGGTCTACTTTTCTTACTTATTTGTTATTTCTTTTCGCCGGGGTTTCCGGATGCATGCTCGACGCCGAAAATGGTTCATGGGCCATGATGGACCTGCTCTTCCCTCCTGGGCTGAGCTCATTGGTGACGTTGTGGGGTGCTGCGGGGCAGCTGGGAGGCTCAACGCTTCAACGCCGTAGAGAAGGCATGTCGCACTGGTGTTTCCACCATGTACACCGCCGACAAAAGCACACGACTCTTCTGGGAAAACACATCACGCGGAATTCGCCGCCAGAAAACACCCACATGCTCGGAAAACACAGCATACGTGCTTACACTGTTGAAAAATCACAAGTTTCCTCAGACAAGAAGACACACCTGCTTACACCTCCGAGAACGGGGATCCTCACATGCTACACCTGAACATTACCTTGTAAATGGTGGTGTCCCTTGATTTTGGTGGAAAAAACCCATGTTTCAAATGGGCAAAATGTATCTTTTAAGGAGCCCTGGAGAACCGCAGGTCACAGGTTTCTCAGAAACCAACTCCGATTCCATTCCTCACGAGCCGAAAGGCGGTCCACGCCGAGCGCTTTCGTGGCCAACAGCGAGATGCTGTAGCCAACCGCCTGAGTACCCGAAAGTTGAGTTGACCTTGGGGGGTATTCCCTCCAAAAGTGATGAATCAGCACCAAATTTCAGGGGACCCCTCGTTTTTTTACAGCCTGGCACCCCAATGAAAACCCTTCCGTAGCCGGCACCCTGAATGTTGAGCCCGGATCTAAGCAGAACCCGTCCTCTTTTTAGGTCCTCACGAAAAATGGGCAAGGAACACGTGGACCTGTATAAAGCGTGTCGCGCCGAAAAGTGCGCAGAGGCTCACGTGGCTGCACAGTTAGGGCCTTAACAGTTGGGGCATATCACACTTTCTGTGAAAGTCTTCGAAATAAAGTGTTCGGTAGTCTTGGTTGTATGGGAATCAACCACTAAATGCAAAGATTAGTTCCCACCATGCTTGTGGTCGTTTTGCTTAGTTTCGCCATGGTGTTCACGGCTTGCACCAAATCATGTGCGTAGCATCTCGCAGAAACCCAGATTTTAGAACCCATAACGCTTTTTCAATCCCATGATTCAGAGGGCGCCGCAGAAAACCGTCGACTCTCCAAGCTTTGGCCATCTTCAAGACCCAGGTCAGGGGTCATGGCGGTGACAAGGGCACCCGTTTTGTGTCCGTTGATGTTAACGGGAAAACCACAAGTTGAGGGACCGAGGTTCAACCCGGCCGAGCTCCAACCTGCCAAAGGCTTTGCTTGTCCGCTCAAATGATCAAGCGTTCCCTAAAAGATACACCCCCAACATCACTGGTTGGCAACAGGCAGAAGGCGGATCTGAATCAGCTGGTGAATGCGATACTCACGGCCAAACGTGTGTCCCTCAAGAACCCAACCTTGGCATTCAGGAATTAAGAGGTGTATGGAGTAGGCTTTTCGGAGGTGCTTCTTCACTCGCCCCGTTTCTTTCTCTCCTTTTTTTTGGGGGGGGGCGCAGACTCCCTGAGCTTGGACAACAGAGCGTCCAGGCGTTTTCCGCAGTTCTGCAGCTCCAAGACCTGAAATAAGCCTAGACAAACGAACAAGTGGGGATACGCAGGGAGCGGGGATATTAGGGGAGATTCCCTTGGCGCCATTTCCCATATCAAACTTAGCCAAGGTACATTTAAGAGAGGAATCCTCCCGTACCCCTGGTTCCCCCTGTATCCCTGCTAGTTGGTTTCCCCTGAGGATCCTCAACCCACCTGGCGTTCGCTCGTCAAAGGCGGTGAGCTCGGGTTGGACGATTCCGCGCGCGGAAAAACGCGAAACGGCTGGGTTGCCCCGACCATCATGGCGAGGCTGCAGAAGTCCAGGTCCATGGAAACGGCGCCGCCTCGGCGCTGGAGCTGAGGTGCCAAAGAGTCCACCTGCACCCTGAAAATACAAATTAAACAGGGTGTGTGTGTGTGCGTAATACGTATTATATATATATATGATATCAACCCCGCCATGTATATATGTATAATATTATATACATATTTACAAATATATATATATATATGTATATATATATTCGGATGCATGACAAGGCAGACTTTTGGTCTACGAAACTGCTCCGAAGAACGTATCAAGTCGTCTAAAAACTGCTCCGAATGGAGATGTTTCTTGCGAAATTGTCCAAGGGCCCCAGGCCTCGACTGATTTCGACATCGCGCGAGGAAAAGAAATCCTGGAGGCGCCTGAGACGGCGCCGGGGAAGAAGTAGAACCCGAAAAGCTGCAGCAGCGCCAGAGTCTTGAAGAGCAGGACCTGAGAAATCAAATCACCTTACCCCCCCCCCACCAATTAACATGGCTGACATCTGGTCCCTTTAAAAGGACAAAACATGTCCATCACCTCCCCCCCCCCCGATGGTTTGGATGTCAAGGGAGTTCCCCATTGAGCTTCAACAAGTGGGGCTCAAACTTCCAAACCAATGCAAACCTCTGCAAAAGAAAAACAAGACATGCGGGTTGGTTCAATTCTTGGACAAGCCAGGCGCGTTGGTTCAATTCTTGAAGACACTGAGCCAGAATCACCTTTGATCAGGTGCCCCCAAAACTAAACTGATCCCATGGGATTGCCCAAAGTCCGTGACGAATGGGCAATCCTTCTCACAAGGAGGAAGTGATCTAAGGGGGATCCTCTGAATTAGGGTCCGGATTTATTCCAAGGTTCACATCGAATGCCCCAAAATGGCTTCGGTTTTCCCATGTGGTTTCCCTTTCCCCAAAAACGGCGACCCACACAAAGAGCGAGAGAGAGAGCGAGAGAGAGAGCGAGAGAGAAAGCGAGAGAGAGACACATACCTCGGTTGCTTTCTGCTCCCCTGCTAAAAGTTTAACTTTTAGTGGTTTAATTCGGAAAACCCATTAGTTGGCAAACAGTTAAAGTGCTAACATCCCTTGGCAAAATGCACCAAAGATACCCATGTCACATGGGATTGGAGCCTTTTCGTCGGATCCGATTCAGAGGGCCATGCGCAACAATCTGCTGTCCCAGCCTTGGTATGGGCTTGCGAAAAAATGCTCAGTGCTTTTTTTGCAGGCCCCGAAAAATGAATAGAACCAACAAAAACCAAAAGCAACAACTAAACCCATGCCAAGAGTGAAGGCAAAATGATGAGCCAACCTGCTTCTTCGGGTTCCATTGTTCCGCTTCATGGGTCGCAAACTCCAAACTTGTCGCTTCATTCTTTTCCCGACCAAGCAAAGCACTGTCAGTTCTTTGCAGCCCTCGGCACGGGCTTGAAAAAAACAAACTGACAGTTCTTAGCCCCTTCAAAATGAAAAGAACCAACAACGCCTAAAGACCTAAACACATGCCAACAAGCAGTGAAGTCATATCATTCATACTGTGGATGGACGAAACCCGTTCGCACCATTCAGGAAACCATGGCTGAAACCATTGTTTGTTGGTATTTGCAGGGGAATTTCATATATAATTCGGGTTTACAGGGAGAAAAGAATTCGTTTTGAATCAGGGGTCATCGAATTACTAGTGGAAGCACCCCCTGGAAGAATTCCTAGACGTCTTTCTCGTGGACATCAAGGCCTGTCCACCAAATATAGAACGCCCTGTTGGATGGCATTCAAAGGAACACCAACCAAAAAAGCCAGGTCGAGATGTGTGTATCGATTCTTGAGTAGTTGGATCGGGCACTAGAAATGTCTTCGAGTAAGTTTCCGGGCTCATCCATGGCCTGCCCGAATCCCAAGCAAAAAGGTTCACGTCCAAGAAGCATCCCGCTTGAAGATGCCGAAGTCTACGTCCTGCGAGCAACTGGGCCAAAATAATTAGGGGTAACGCCAAAACTCGTCATGCTCGTAATTTTCTAGGAGTACCCTCCCATCCACAAACATGAAACCTTTCAGGGGGGTCCTGGAAGACAATTTTGGATTTTGTGGTGGGTTCCATGCTAGTGGACCGGAGGGTATTCGATTAGTGATCAATAGCCCCTGTTCAGACGTTTGGGAAAAGCAATCCGAACGAACAGGCTTGAGCCAAGTCCTTTGAACATGTTTATAAACCTATATTATTGAGCAACCTCCTTTCGGTTTCCTTTTCACAGGGACTGGGCTGATGGCTTGAACAGCTTTTGCCCACTGTGGATGGGTTGGTGAACAACTCTAGGCGTCCACCCTCTGGATGCATAACGTCTCGACCTTGTGCTTGCAATGGGGAAGTTTGTGTAACACCGAGCAAGTTGTTGAGCAGGAATGTTGGCAGTGAAATGTCACAACAGACTTGGCCCGAATTACAAACCCCACACTCTCAACACGGAAGGGTGCTCAACCTACACGTTGCGCCACGCCGGGATCATGTTTAGATTGTTCATGTCTAAATGGACGGCGGGTCTGCCATAGCCAGCATACAGCATTAAGATACCGTGGATGGACGAAATCCTGCACCACTTTGATTTGATACCAGGGTTGAAACCATGGTTTGTTGGTATTTGCCGGGGAATCACCATTCCAGGGTTTCTCCTCGGTGCGAACGGATTTCGTCCATCGACTGGATATTTGGCTTCTTCGTACTATCTCTCTTGCCCCTATTCACTTGCAAAGCGGATCCTTCTTTGGGGAGAATATCAGATACCAGCTTGGTGCTTCAGGGTATGGTTTGGATGCTGCTTTTGTGGAGTTAAAAAAAAAAGAAAGAAACAACTTAACATAGTACTGAAAGGGATCTCAGGAGGAAACCACAACACATGCATCCATCCCGTTTTCCAGCGATGTGGAGTATGTTGTTTGGAGCCCTCACGGGCTCACTGTGGGTGATTCACATCTGGAGTACAATTCAGCTCACTACAGCCCTGTCAAACACATGTGGCGTTCGAACCAGCCTCGGCACTAGATCGGTTTGTGCAAAGAATCACCCAGAACCTTGGGGTTAAACAGCGATCGGTTTGTGAGAAGTGGCTTGTGAAAGGAATCACCCAACAAACTTACTAGGTTCCAACAAACCACCCAAAACCTTGGGGTTAAACAGCGATCGGTTTGTGAAAAGAATCACCCAGAACCTTGGGAAACAGCGATCGGTTTGTGAAAAGAATCGCCGATCGAAAAGAACGGAAAAGGCAAATCCACCCCGCGAAGAAGGTGCCGCGAAGAAGCCGACCATCCGGGCCCCGCGGATTGGGAGTGAGGTGTTTGGTTTTCCCCGTGGAATCGGGCGAGCGCTAGGTGCCCTTTTATCGTTTTTGGGGTTTTGGGTTCCCCTAGTAAAATAGACTACAGAAAAATAAATAAAAAACATCGGGCGTCAACTTATTCAGGAGCTGAGAGAGGAATTGGAAGGGAAATCCGAAGAGTGTTGTTTTTTTTTTTCTGGAAATTTGCATGGGTCTGCCGTTTGTTTGTTATGCTCAATCAGGGGTTGACATGATTCTGTGTTCTTGGTTGGTTTGGGGTGGTTTTTTACAAAGGACCCTGGAAAGAATGGACATGCAAGCTACCGTAGAATCTCGTCCTGGCGGCTGTAGAAGGTGCTGATGTAGCGCCTCGACGCGCGCGCTCGCGCATTCGCACGGCAAGCGGCTTCCAACTCGGCCGGTGGCGCGTTTTTCGGTTTCTTCTGGAGTTACCCCTTTTCCAGGTTGGTTGAGAAGGGAAACCAAGGGTTTGGGGTTTAAGGGTTTAGGGTTTAGGGTTTAACCACCCCCCCACCAGCTAACGTGGAAGTGCACAGACCCCTGCAGAAAGACTACTTTCCTCTTGGAAAGGACCTTATTGCACTTCCATGTTAGTTGGCGGGAGGGTACCCCTTCTCCAGGTTGGTTTAAAAGGGAAACCAAGAGGAAAACCGTTCTGCCATTTTGGGGTCCTCGAAAAAAGACAAGCCCATATATGTCTTTCAAATGATGTGTCATATTTAGTCAACCACACATTGGGTTTGTTTTTTTCCCAATGATGGATGGAGACCAGTTTAGCTTGCTTCCAAGAGGAACCCATAATCTCACATTTGAGAAGGATGTTCCAAACATTTGTCCAAGTCTTGAAAAAAAGGACGGCCCAGGGTGGCAAAAATCAACTGATTTAGGGGTACCTTCCCCATTCTTTCCAGGGATCCTTCTTTCCAGAACACCTCCGGTTCCGCCCCTGAAAACGGCGATCGGTTTTTGAACAGAACGATGGTTGAAAAGAATGAAACATGGGGCAGGGGAAGGGGTAAAGGGGGGGGGGGGTGAGGCTTCTTCACCACAAGGTGCCCAGACAAACAGCAAGCTTTAGGCGAGCCGCAGATAGTGCACATAAGAGGTCATCACCAAGAAGACCTTGTAGCTGCCAGTCACGTACCACAGTGCTGCGGAGACCTGGGCGTGAAAACGAACCTGACAGCTCCCCACGAAAAGGAATCCCCCTTTCACTTGGCCTGCGTTCACAAATCCTAGTCCTCGAAATGCGGTAAAGGAAACACCCCCAGTATGGCCAAAAGAAGGGTGGAATTCACACCCTGTAACACTCAACTTGGCCCAAAAGGTGAGTCACAGTCAGAACCTGGCATTCAAATGGTCCAAACCAATGTGAAGAACTAAGTAGGCGGATATCCGCCCCCCATTTCTGGTTGGGACTGTCCCGTACTTGTCTTCACTTACCCGGGTTTTGAGCAAGTGGCTCAGATGTTCAAAAACCAAGCGGGAAATGTAGAGAACCATGCCGGTAGTTGGGAACCATGGGAACGTAGCTGACATGCAGTATTCTAGCTGTACTTTCCTCATTCTCCGCAGACATCCTTTGTTTAGGCCACCACCCAGGGAATTTGAGTGGTTTCTGAACAGAATGATGGGCGAGACGAGGGGGATCAGCCTTTGGAAGACTCGGGGCAAACACCAACACGAGCGGCCAACAGAACAATAGATCAGCGCGAGAGCTGTCGCAAATTTGGATACCCTCCCGCCAACATGGAAGTGCACCAAACCATGGGACACCACCCGCATGAACAGCACTTGGAGAGCACGTCTACCCGAAAGTGTCTCAGTGTCTCAGGAACTGCCGCCAAGGGCCTTGGCAGTTCCTGCCTGAAGTCTCTATGACCTATTGCAAATGGGCGCCTTTTCGGCGTCAATGAATTCAAGCCCAGAGACACAGCCACTCACTTCCGAAGTGGATTGGCCAAACAAAACTCCCAAGCTGTTGATTTACCACTTACTGGTCCAACCCCACACAGTTTCAAGCCTGGGAACTTCGGAAGCGAGCCCATGCAGACCAAAATGAGAAACATGTCCGAGGCACGATCAAGTAGAGCAGGTTCCTCTGGCCAACATGCTCCTCAAAGGCATTGAAGAGGATGGTGCCAATGACCACCTGAAGCCGAGACAGTTGCCGGGGTCTGTGTTCGAGCCTGGGTACCCGCTGTGCGGTTGAAAGGGAAGCTAAAAGGAAGATGCCGCCGTTGTGGAGGAGGGGTCCCCTACAAAACGACACACCAATACCGTGGATGGACGAAATCCTGCACCACCTAAGAAACCCTGGAATGCTGGTTCCCCTGTACATACCAACAAACAATGGTTTCCCATGGTTTCAAAGTGGTCCAGGATTTTGTCCATCCACAGTATTAGTCAAGACGCCGGGCTAACTTCAAGACCCCCTCAATTGCGAAGCTGCACCAAAGGTGCGGAAAACCTTCGTCGCCATGAACATGGCCGACTCAAATTGTGACTCCCGCCTGCATGCCCATGAGCCTCTGAAACAAGTTCTTTGGCTTGATGGTGAGCAAGAAGAGACCGCGAAACCTCACGATTCGACTCTCGCACTGCAGTTGGTTGAGTCACTTCAGCTCACTTCCCGAGTGGATTGGCCCAAAAAAGTCCCAAGCTTCTTGTTTACCCACTACTAGGTCCTCCGGTAGAGAGGTTCGAATAAGGGTACCAACTCTTTTCTGTGGTCTATTTTAGCAAGGGAATCTTCCCAAAAAAAGAAAACGGTAAAAGGGCACTACTGGTGGATCTAGACTAATATGGTCTTTCCATCCAGGAACTCAGCAAGTGAGACTGCAACATCCTCTCCCCAAAGAAGCGGCAACTAAGCTGGAGATAGGCCACTGCACAGGTGCCCAAATAATCAGTTTTTTGCGTGCCGAGTGGGTTTCCTTAGGCTTTCTAGTGACATCCTGAAACTTACTCTCTTGGAGGGTTTCTGAAGCCAGGAGGGGCTTAGCGCGAAGCCCAGCGTCTTGGCAGGAACAAAAAAGCCCCCACCCACCCATCTCTGCGAAACAAATGGCGGGTTCCTCTTTGCGGTCCCTCAGTGAAGGAAACACACACATGGGTCTGCAGACTGAGCATTGATGGTCGCGTGGGCAAGGTAAGTCTACAATCAGCCTGGTGGTTTAAACGGCAACCCACAAAAGCAATTGAATGAAGCCCGAATGCCTTGCCACTGGGACTTTAAAAAATGGAACACGCAGAGACATCAGCCAGTTGGCGCCAACCCCTCAAGGCTGAAACCCAACGAGTCACGAACCAGTGGGTGCGGCCTAAGAGGAAATCCGTGTTCTTTTTTGGGGTCTCCTAACCAAAAGGAAAGACACGCCGACCCCTGTCATAGCCAAGGTGTTTTCTCGCCGCTTTTGCCTTGATCCTGCCCACAGAATCAGGAGCACTTTAAAGGCGGACTCAACTCAAAAACCCCAAAAAGCGCACGAACAAGTTTGCAGTCGCTTTTTTATTGAGGGCACCCTTTCCAAAGAAAAAAACACGAGGAACAAATACGAAATCCGCACGTTTTTTTTGGGGGGGTGTCTCCTTCAGTGGGACCTTCCTGGCCCGCCTTGGGTGAAAAATGCGGCGAGTGCCCATCCCTTGGCTTAGTCCAAGCTCTCACTGTCGAACCCTAGATCCTGAAAACGCTGAAAAGGGGACGGTCAAAGCAGGGAGCTCATGTCTTTTTCTACTTCCCCTTGCACACAAAGAATCTCACTAACAAAGTGGTTGGCTCGCTAGAAGCGTGGATTTGTTGCAAAAAGTCGGTCCCACTGAAATGATCTTCCCCAGGTGAAATCTTGACCCCAGATCTAAGTAGAACCCGTCTTACTATTAGGGGCGATATTCTCTCCAAGAATCCCCACTGAGACCCCCAAGTCAAACTCAACCAGGGGTTTCACTTCATCTGGGGTCAACATGAAGTGGTCGAACCCCTCAAGCTTTTTGTAAACTTCGAGGCGACGTCCCCAAGAACCGGGCGAGACGTTGTAGCTGGTGGTCAGCTTCGCAAGCAACCAGCCCAAGGGAAAGAGCACCCTGGGATAAACACCTCGGCACGTTGTTGTTCCCCGCAAAAAAAAAATGCAAAAGAAGATGGACATCAAATTTCTTTGGTGGGGATTCATGTCCGCCAACAGCTTTTGAGGTGGTGCCCCCGCCCAAGAAAAAAACATGGCCACCTCCGTCTGCCCCGGCAAAAACAACCTTGCTCTCATGCCCTCTTTCGGTGCCACTAAAATATGTTGCGGTGTACTATTGTCCAAAAACGACAAAGTTTGGGTTTGAAGAAAAACCTTAGGCTTGTTGATAAGCATTTCCCTCAGGCAAGACTTGTTCATCGCCTTCAGGTCAAGGAGGCTGAGAGGGGTTTTTCTCATTGCATCGCGTCCTGGACCTCAAGCGGACTTCCAGGAAAACGCCGCCTTTGTTCGGTTGGTTGGTTAAGGGACTCTGCTCCAATGGCAAACCTCGCCACGGGAGCAGGTCCGGGTAACACAAGCGCCACTTGTTGAGTTCGTTGGTCAGCATGAGTACTGGTTTGTGTCTTGCCGCGGAAAAAATCGAAGCCCAGGAACTGGAAACGTGAGCATCTGACCAAAGTCCAAACTCATTACCACCAAAATGGTCCAAACACAAAACGTGTAAAGTCTGGGAACTCAGGAAGTGCGACATCTGCAAGGTCCGAGGTGGGCTCTGTCGTCCCTTGCGGCGCATTTTGGACGTCGCTTGCCCCAACTTCGGCCACAGGGCAGTAGTGCAGCTTGAGCACAACTCTGAACTCGTCACTCTCCTGGCCATTAGATTCTCAAACAGGGGTCCCCCTATTTTTTTGCCCACGCCAAGTAAGCAACACCCAAAACCATTATGCAGCACTTACTCTTCGTCCTGCTATAGAGGAACACCCCTTACTAAATTAGCCAAGGGGTAAAAGGGAAGCGTCTCAACCGGACCTAAAGAGAGCCCGCATTTGTGCGGCGGGTCAAAGGCAGTGCTGAAATATACTCTCCCATCGACCAACAACCAACTGGGAACACTAGCAAAAACCACCAAAATATAACTGCATATCTGGACAAATCCCACATGCAAAGGCACACAAAGCCCATTTCGACATGGCATGCCGGCATGCCTATGAAAACAAAATGAACAGTCAGAGGAAGGGTTCCTTGCTTTCAGACCGGCCCCTATATAAGGGCCAGACATGTTCCACCGCAAGGTGGTGTTGCTCCACAATTTTCGGTATGTTTCGTAGTGCGTTTCTGTTTGGTGCACTATATATAGACTAGAACCTAAAGATACAAGTCATGTTTCGATCGAAACTGAGGTTGATACTGAATGGGTTGGGAGCAAGTGGGCATCTCCCTGTGACTGCATTGGAGGTCCCTTTGCAGAAGCGGATCTTTTGAACTCGCTTCCTTCGGCTAGCGATCTTTTCCCCTATTCTTGCTCGTCTTGGAGGGATTGTTTTGGGGTGGTTGAAAGGACGGAAACAAACCATTTTCGGGGGCGGTTTTTTAGACATGCCCCAAATACGGGCCCAGGAAAGTGGTCTTCCATCTCGGGTTCCACGGGAGAGCATCTCTGCATCGGAACCTGTCCACCGCTCCTTCAACATCTGCTCCTCCCGCTTGATGTAGTGCACCTGACTGTTCAGGCCTGTGATAAGTTTCATACAAGCCCCTTCAATTGATCAAAACAACCACTCAAAAGGGCAGTCTCTCAAGCGTCTGCTTTCCAACAGGGCAAGACCCGGTCCCGGCAAAACCTGAAGGCCAAGTCATTTCAGGGCTGATTCTCTACCAACCAAGCAACGAGCTCTGACCTTCACTTCGTCCAGCCCGGAAACTCCCCAATGACAAACTTGGAAAACTTGGACGTGCTTGCACCAACTTGGTCGTCCAAGGCAGGGAGCTTCGGAATTTGTGAGTCCTGGCATCCCTGAAAAGCCCCACGCAGCTCCCATGCTTCAAGCCGCACTCGCTTTGGTGTTTGAAGGGAATTAGCGCGCGCAGTCATAGACACTGGGAACTCGCTGTCGGAGAACTTGTCAACAAAACTCGGCCTGCTCACATACCACAGTGTCACCAGGCCCGGGGCAGCGCCCTCCATGGCATCATGTGCCATCATTGTGGACCTCATGCTCAAGCAGCGCACCCGTCTTCAGATACACTGCCGCGATTTCAGCTAGGGCCTCAATGCCATTCGGCGAGGCGGCGGCCCTCAAGAATCTCGAAGAACGAGCTTTCAACGCCTCCTCCCGCGATGAACTCCTCTAAGCGTTGTGACAACACAGACTCCATGCCTGCGCTGTCCGGCGCCATCCTAACTCAGCTTCAGCTCTGACTGCCGAAACCGCAAAATCGGCGTGCCCTGTGCAACGCGGCATGCTCATGCACTGCATGTGGCACACCCTTTCTATCGACCCCCTTCAAGAACCTGTCAAACAGCAGCATGCACACGCACGTTTGGGAAGACTATTTGGAGCCACCACACCCAAACTGAAATATAGGTATGTGCCAAAGCTGAGGAAGCCCGGCCAACAAGTTACGGCTTTTGTTTGTCCTTCCTTTGCTTGCCCTTGAAACCAAGGTGAAAAGGGTAGCCTCAAACAAAGACGAACCCATAGCTGATATATGACGCTCCTTGAGCCTCCAACTTGGTTTGGTCTCTCAGTGCGAAAGCGGCAAGCCGGCAGGCCTCGCGATGAAAGTCGAAAGCCAAGACGTCCCCCAGCATGGCATTCCTGGGATCCGGCCAAGCCTGTTGGGGAAAGAGGGTCTACAGGCGGACCAAAGCACAAACATTTACACGAAATAGCTTCAGCGCTTGTTTGGTACCTCGTTCAATGTGCAAAAGAGGCACCAACAAAGAGACCTGCAAATGGAATAGTTTGAGGGCCCAGGAACCACATATGGCCCTGTCTGGAAGCTTTTTCCGCTTCGCTTTCGACGGGTGGAAAAGTGCGACCAAGGGCGCTTGGCGATGCCGGCCTCGGGGAAGATGGTGGTGGTGGCCAAGTTCCGGTCCATCCCCACCTGAGTCGAAGACAACCTCCGCCCCCGAAGCCTGGCGACTAAATTTGACACCAATTCAACCAGGTGGTTCTTGGTTAGGAGGCTTCTCGCATCGATAACCCGAAGCGATTGACACTACCTCCAGTATCTCCATTGATCCTCCAGGTTTTGGGAGATTCATGCTTCTTCATGTCAATCCCCATGGCTTGATCCTGTCAACATTCATACTCATCCTGTTTAAAAAAAAACACAGACTTTCGTTAAACTTTGGTTTGCAGTAAGTCGAGGAAACCGCAATCGAACCTGGTCGATTGCAGGGAGTTGCGTTTTCCCCACTTGCAGAAAGTCGGGGCTTCTCAAAGTTGGGGGTCCCCTTTGGGGTTGGTTTGAGAAGAAGCCAACAAGACACCCCCCCCCCAGGCCGCATTTCTGAGAACCACCCATGGGATGTGTCACAAAAAGCGACCCCCTTGAAGAGGTTTTTCAAGGGCAAAGCATACCAACTAGGATCATTTGACGAGACTTGGCACGTAAACTCGCCATGTCTCCAGCATGTTCCTTGGAGCATTCATGAAAAAAAGTGCTCTTGATCTAGCTGACCAAACTGATTGCCACCTTAACCCCATTGAATGCACAAAGGTACCTCAAAAAGCGACAACGCTGAAGTCAGCTCGGCCAGTTTGGGCCCACGCTTCCCCGTTTGCTAAAGGGCCCGAGATGCTCATCCCCAAAAGCAAACCAAACGACTTGGAACCAAGACCCATCGTGTGGATTGAGTCTCATCCCCCAAAAAAACCAGCCCTTGGTATCGATAAGGCTGTTTTGTCTAGACTCCTCATGTTGGGCCCAGCTTTGTGTGCGGAAAAATGCATGAAATCAACCAGCGATGCCTTGCGTGGGCTGCTTAGCAAGATCCCAAACTATCGGCGGTTCTGCAAATGTGATCTCTTTCTTGTTCCCAAAAAGGGGTCTAAAGGTCAAAACCCTCTCATTTGGGTGTTTCATATAAAAGAGGGGGCCCCAAAAACTGGACTTTGTTGAAAACTCGTTCGGTTTCCTTGAAAACCCCAAGAAGGCGGAGCGGCGTGGGGTTCGGCTGACCCGGGGTTCCCGGCAATGCATCGGTACACCGAGGCGAAGGGCAAGAAGCCGTAGGGCCCGTCGAGGTGCTTCTCATAAAAGACCTGCGGGTTTGTTGTTTTTCCCGTGAACTCACTTGGAGCTTGCTCCGCGGGCTAACCGAAATGTGATGTGTGGTGTGTGGCGAAGAAGGCAAACACGGCTTTATGAATCGATCGGGACTTAATTTGGTTCAACAATACCCTACAATCCATAGTTAAGGGACTCTAAAAGGACACCAGAGACCGAGCAAAAAGCGAGTGTGAGGCCACGAGGCGCGAGGCCCCCTCTCTCTTGGCACCAGAGTACAAAACCCCCAAAACGGAGGACGGGGTCCCCTTTCGTTTCCTCTTGAACGAGCCCAAAATTGGTACTGTGGACAAGAATAAATCACACCCAGGGCGCAGAATCCGCACTGTTACCCTCCTTGCTTGCCAGAGGGTCCCTTCTAGAGGAAATGGTCCTAAATCCCCAGCTAGAGTCCCCAAAAAACTGGGATGCCCTTTCAGATTGCCTTGAAGGACCAATCAAACATCCATGTGGCGTTAGTCAAGCCTCTAAGGTCTGACTATCGCTCATGAGTTGGTTGAATTCACAGTATGCATCCATCTCTCAGAAAAGGGTAGAACGTTAGAGCGCACAGCCAATGTGAAACGCTCCCTAGCAGTGTTGGGTGTTTCAACCCCCGTTCAAACATGTTTAAACACCTAATGCTTAAAGAACCGTTCTTTACTTGGTTGACGTTGGAAGGGGAGCAAACAATCAAATTTTAGCAGTTAAGTAGTTGGATTTCAACCACTAAACCACAATAAGCAAGAATGTAAAATGTTTCCCAACAACAACCAGGTTTAGGTTCCCTGTAAAGAGGGCCCCTGGTCTGTTGGTTTACGCTTGTTCGCCCTCAATTTTCCAGGCTATTAGTCTAGGGGAATCCAGTCTGGGTCCGTCCCCAGGTTTCCAAACACGGCGGTCAAGATGAAGTGAAAAAACAACGAGCTTTGCGGCTCAGAGGGTGTATCCAAGATCAAGATCAATCAACACAAGCTTTTCGATCCTGACACACACTGTCGATGGCTGACGTCGTTCCCAAGCGCCAATAAAGAAGAAAGACCTGAGATTTGGCATGAAAGTGACAAAGGTGGCAGAAGTGGCAGTGTACAGTGGGCTATGTACAGTGACAGTGACACAGTGATATTGAAACAATGAACCAGTGTACAGTGGGCAGTGGACGGTGCGCTATGTGATTGACAGTGACAAATTGACACTGTAGGCAATGTAAAGCTGACCATGTGATTCATTCACCGTATAACTAATTGTCACTGTGATATCATATAAGGCAGTGATGACATTGAGCGGCTGCTTCTAGACTTGTAGAAGAAACCTTCGCACTGCTTCCGGGAAAAGCAACCAATTCTTGGCCTTGTCCCCCCACCCCAACCCCCCCCCACCCCCCGTAAGGCTCAACTGGAACACTTCTCGGCCGTCTGGAAGATAGCAACAGGTCAACGAGCTCAAAACGCACACGCCCCTTGGAACCATGAGCTCCAAAGGCAGGTCCCAAATGTCCAGCCACAGTAGACTACTGTCAACCTGAACCCTTAGCTTTTAGTGGCGGTTGTTTTGTCACTTTTGGAGCAGAACACCCCCAGACGAATAAGCAGGGGGTTTGTAATCCCGAATCAACATTGCCAATCACATTGTGAGTGACTCATGCCCTGGTCGAAGACTTGCCGTGCGCCTGGTCGGAGTTGTACTCATCATCCTTCCGGCTGGGGCCACTGATGTAGACCTGACCCATGGAAACACACCTGCGCAAAGGATCTGGACAAAAGCGGAAAACGAGACGCGATTTCTTGGTTGATGTTGGTTGTGCTTGTTGAAACGGAATCTGAACTCCACCAAACAAGAGCACAAGCAAAATTGGGATGGCTTTGGTGTTGTGTTTTGCTTTGAAAGACAAGCTGAATCCCAAGATCCTCAGAAACTCAGCAGAAACACAGTGGCTTCTGGGTCGGTTCCGCGAACGCTGGGCTGCACCGGTCAAAAGAAGCCAGTTGGAGTACCTCAAAAGAGGGCTTTTCGCCCGTTTGACTGCTTGGGTTACCAAGCTTGGCAAAACGGATTTTGTCAAAAGACGGTTCTGGTGGTTTGGTTGGGAAACCAGGATGTTGAAAAAACACACACCACCTAGACCCAACATACCCTTCACCACCCTTAACAGTCTGAATCCTTCTATTTGTTGGGGGCAATATCCAACTTATGTTAGGGTTTCAACTTTTAACAATGAGAAATCCTCCTAAAAATTTGGGGCAGTATCCAACTACTGTCAGGGTAGTTTGAGGGTTCCAGGTTGGTTGGTGTAAGCCACCGTGCCATCGGTGGAATGGCCAACCCCGCGAGGATGGATCCGGGGCCTCATTCATCCCGGGCACGATGTCCATGCAATAGTGACCCTCACCTGTCTCAACTCCGGTTCACATCCGAGATACACAGAAAACAACCAATTTAAACGAGGTTGAAGGGGCTAAAGAATGAACATGGGGGGCTGACTTGCCACTATCTAGACTATCGGTCGCCCAACTTCGGAAGTGCTGTGTGTTGGCTTCTTGAAAAAACAAACACATTGAGCATGAACAAAAGGGAAAATGACTCCCAAGGTCCCCTGAAACCAAATTGAAGTCATGATCATACGAATGTGCAGTGGTTTAGCACATAGGGAAACTGACCCAAGATGAAAAACACCCGTTGGGCAGGGAAGAAAGAGGTGAGAATGGGGTTTGGGGATACTTTAAAACCAGAGTGAGCCATGATTATGGGAGCATCATGTCTATTTTTGATTCAGCTCATATTATATTGGAGTATGTCCACAGTCTCAAAATAGGGGCATCCCAAAAATGTTCCCTTTATTTTAAAACAATCCCAAAAAGGATGCCATCAAAAGCAAACACTCAAACAAACAAACGCACGAACAAACGAACGAACAAACAAAACAAACACACAAACACACAAACAAGCAAACAAACAAGCAAGCAAGCAAGCAATCAAGGAAGCAAGCAAGCAAGCAAGCAAGCAAGCAAGCAAGCAAGCAAGCAAGCAAGCAAGCAAGCAAGCAAGCAAGCAAGCAAGCAAGCAAGCAAGCAAGCAAGCAAGCAAGCAAGCAAAGCAAGCAAGCAAGCAAGGAAGCAAGCAAGCAAGCAAGCAAGCAAGCAAGCAAGCAAGGAAGCAAGGAAGCAAGCAAGCAAGCAAGCAAGCAAGCAAGCAAGCAAGCAAGCAAGCAAGCAAAACAAAGAAACAAGAAACAAAGAAACAAAGAAACAAACAAACAAACAAAAGCCCAAACACAAGCACAAGCACAAGCACACACACACAAAACACTGGCACACAAACACTGGCACACAACACTGGCACACAGACAAACACAGACGCACACAGACACACACACACACACAAACAATCTCACACATTCATCCTGTTGAGCTCGTTCTTCCTCCAAGTGAGTCTGCCATAAGAACAAACACACAGATACGATGGATAACCCCTTTTTTCTTGCAAGTCAACAAGGCGAACCCAGTAAATTCGCATGTTGTTTACTTGCTATACTTTTTTGAGGGTACCCTTTTGCGGATTTTGAAAACCACAGGCAAACCACAACTTGTTGGGAAACCATATTGGAAACCGCTGATTTTGGGGGGTTGTGTTGAGAGACCAAAGGCAAACCGCCGCCTTTTTTTGTGGGAGGGGGGGGAGGGGGGCGGGGGGTTCCCGCAAAAACGGCCAATCCATATGGGTCTGTCTTTGTTAAAGGGTACCTTTTTTTTGCCGGTGAAGCGAAACCAACAGTCAAACCGTTGCGCCACTTCTTTTTGGGTGGGAGGTCTCTCAAAACAAGACACACCCAAAAGGAGATCTGCAGGGGACTCATGCCTCCCCCAACAGGAAAAACCAAAGCAACTTTGGTGTGGTCCCTCAAAAAAAAGCAGCAACCCCATACGGGTGTCTTTTCTTTGAGGTACCTCCCCAGGAAAACCGCAATTTCGGTGGGGGAGGCACATTTCGGTGGTTTTGAGGCGCAAAAAAAAGACGAACAAATCCCCGTGCGGTTTTGTTTCCCCCCAAAGCCCTAGGGCACGGCCCGTCCCCCTAGGTAGGTGGCTTTAAAGCGCCACCCCCCCCCCCAAAAAAAAAAAACAAAAAAACGCGAAGATCCACCGTGGGGTGGGGAAAATACTTCCCCAGAAGGAAAACGGCGCGGATCGCCCCTTCCGCCCCGCCCAGCCCCGCCCCTTCCGCCGGAGGCGCCGAAGCTGCTTCGGAACATCCGCGCCATGACGCGGCTCTCCGCGCAGCGCCGGAAGGCCTCGAAGGCCTCGCCTGGCGAGGAATTCCAAAACGCCGGAGACATGGGGGGCCCGGACGGTGTGTGTGTGTGTGTGTGTGGTGTTTTGTTGTTGCTTGTTTTTATTATTATATAATATGTTTTATGTACATATTTTTTTGGGGGGGGATCTTGTTTGTGTTTTGAATTTGTGTTTTTGGGGGGTCTTAATGTGTTTGCTTGTTGTTTTGGTGTTTCTGTCTTTCTTTCTTTTTTGGGGGGGATCTTATTTTGTTTTGTTTTTTTTGGGTGGGTTTCCTCTTTTTGGTGGCTTCCTTCTTGGTTTGAAGCACTGTTGACCTTTTATTGGGTGACTCATAAAACGGGTGGTGCTGATTTTGGTGTCTCTGGTGGTGTCCATTTTGGTTTCGGCTACACAACTGATGACTCCCACTTGTTCACGGGAGTCCCCGCAAGAGGAATTTCCACTACAGATAATAAGTTGGGGATTGATTAATCCGGAGTGAACATTAAGCTGTTTGAACAACGTTCCTTTGCCTCTCCATAAGGGAAAAACATGGTTAGTAATTCTTTTGGGAGTGAGAAGTGAGAAACCCAGTTGATAGCTCGGGTAGTCTTTGACTAAACACCAGTCGATACGAGGGAAACCACGTTTAACCCATCCGACAACATCTCCCTTCCCTTTCCAGGGCACCAGGGGGTTGGGGGAACCTTATCACCTTAGCGGTTTGGTTTTGCGGTTTGGACGTTCTGGCAGGACCTTCCCATCCGAATTCAAAAGGAAGTGGGGGTCCATGACCCCCAAACCAATCTCTAAACCTCCAATTAGGTATACCCAGCCCAAAATCCAACATGGTGGTGTTCCCGTTAGTTTACCCTAAAAGGGGTACCCTCAAAAAAGACACGCCCTATTTAGGGGTTGCAACTGAACTGCCGGTTGGGCCTCGCCTTGCAGGTCGCTGTGCCACCAGTGGCTGGTCATTCCCGAGGGCGGCATCCGCGCCTGTGCAAAAGGTCCGAGTAAAAAGACAGGGTGGTCGCAAAAAAGGACTTGGTCCCCTGAATGGTCGGCTTCCTTTTGCTTTCCCTTTGAACTAATCCCAAAGAGGTGTCCTCAAAAAAAACGCACCCATTTGTGTGAGTTCGTGCGTGCGTGCGTGCGTGCGTGTGTGCGTGTGGGGGTGGGTGGGTAGGTGGGTAGGTGGGTAGGTGGGTAGGTGGGTGGGTGGGTGGGTGGGTGGGTGTGTGTGTATATATATGTGTGTGTGTGCGTGTGTGTGTTTCTTTTGAGGGCACAAGATTAAAAATGGTAGGGAAATTAAAAGAATCGCCACCATTTTTCGGGTTCGCAGCTATTGAAACACACACCGAGGGTAGGTGAGATCATGAAGGTAATATTGACCCCGGCTTTAATAAGCCGATTCTATTAATAGGGGGGTCTCCTCCAAAAGTGGCCACTAACAGGGGACACCCCTCCCCACCATTAATCAACCTCACGAGCCCTTCTTGGGTGTTCGGTCAAGTTAGAAGGTGGTTAGTAACCTACAGGTCAGAGCCTACTTATAAGTCCCCCGAGTGCGGTTAGCTTGGTTGCAAATAGGTTGTACCCTGCCATGTCCTTACAGAACTCCTAGCTCCCTTTCCTCTTTAACAGCAAAATTGGATACCCCCAGTTTCGGCTCCCTACCAACAGGTAGCCTGGGATGACCAACTTGGCCCCAAGATCCTTCCGGCCAAGACGCCACGGCCCAGTCACGGATCACTTGCAAGTCCTTGCGCCGGTCCTGGCACCACGAAAACCAAAATGCCCTGCTCAGCTCAACACGGATCCCCCAGCTCTAGCCCCGCACGAAAACGGCCCTTAGGAGACGTTCGTCACTGTTTGGGCCACTTTTGACAAGAAGTTTAGATTTCTTTGGCCAACCCACGGAAGTGAACTGTTGAAATTGCTCTTTGGTATGTTGTGTTGATCAGTGTTTGTTTGCCCTTGGTATGGTTCTTAGCTGCCTTGGCACACTTCTGTCTATAAGGCATACCTGATGAAATGGGCCCAAAGATGACAGGACCAGAGTTGGCCAACAAACGCTCTTGCTGCTGCGCGGGGAATGAGACATGGAATGACCCGCACAAAAACCATCCCTTGTGGTTTCCTTTAAGGGAATCCCGAAAACCGGTTCATCCCCAACACACACAAGGTTAGTCCCTACTGAGCACGAGAAAGAAAACTTACGAGCTGCGTCCCGCATCGTAGAGCCAGCAAAGTGAAAAAGGCAAAACACCATAAGTAAGCCTAAGCGTGTTCTCACTTTGGTACTTCTTTACTTTGCTCGGCGAAAGTAAACAAGTAAAACTGTTTAAACAAACGGTTTGGAGCCATGCAACATAATATGAACACCTGCCGAAAGTGAATGTTTTACTTTTGGCGGTTTTACATGTTTACGTGTATACTTGTTTCCTTGATTACTTTTTCCCAGTACAAGTACAGCAGTAAGCAAAGTATTTTTGTTTGCACCCATGAAACGTACACTGTGAAACAACCTTTTTTTGCAACCCATGAACAAAAACCGTTTTACGCTTTACTTTGATTTCCTTTACTGGGACAGCAAAGCCATAATAGAAGGTTGCACCCCTGAAACTTCAAAGTAAAACAGCCACAGATGTGTTTTATATCTTCAGGCTGGTTTACTGGGGAAAAGGACAATATAACACAAAGCTTTAGACTATTATATGCCAGTAGGTTGCGTTGGTCACTTGCCAAGATTCAACTGACTGACTGGCTGCAGATCCAGCAAATTTGGATAGCAAACCAAGTCTGCAATTCCAACAAGAAAGACTCCAGAGAACAGCTTGTTTGTCCATCCGTGCTCATTTGCAACTGCCCCCCCCCCCAAAAAAAAAATGGGCGTGAATTTCCTGCCTGGAATGGCATGCAAATGCAGTTCACAGAAAAACTCGTGAACGCCTACAACCAAGGTTGGCTTCTTTGGGGATAGCGAGTGCATTTCATTGACACCAGGTGCAAGTAGATGGCATAGCTCCATTTCTGCAGGTACATGGGATGATCAAACCAAAACGGGTCCTTTGCGGCTCCCTTCGAAAGGCAACCTTGCGGAATCCGAATCCGGCCCCCGACTGCAAAGCGTTGCCATCTCACCAGCAAAGCTTGGACCAAACCCGGGGTACACAACAAACGATATCTTCAGATTCTGATTCGCATCCAGTCAACCCATCCGAATTGTGGAGGGCACCCTCCCTCGTTGCCATGGCACCTGACACAAGATCCCTCAAGAGGAGATTCGGAGATTCCAGGTCTCCCACCGGTTCTATTGGGAGGAAGGGTACCTGCACACCAACATGGAAATCCAAGAAGGGCCCAACTCACAAAAATATTCCTCTGCCTCCATTGCCTAAGTCGCCTGGCAAAGAATAAAACATGTTCAGTGGTGACACATAGTGACACTATCACATCCCCTTTGAAACCAACAGGGGAAAATCAACAAATATTCCTATGCCAATGAAAGTCTAGGCTGCTTTTTGGGGGAACACCACGTTAAACCTGCACGGGAGTGCTGCGTGTGCCTTTATGTTGAGGGTACCCTTCTTAGAGCGGACACACCCAAATGGAGATCTCCAAGGAGATCTCTGCCTCCCCCAATTCACTTCTGGGATTTCGGCCTCCATGAGACCATCCCACCCGTTGCCGGCACCCCAGTTTCAGGCTGATTCAGAGAGACCTCCCCAGTCGACTGGATCGAACAGATCTCCTCCTCTGAGCTCTTGGCATCGCTGCAGAGGTTGGACTGCAAGACGCGGACACGGAAGGGCGCCCCCGGGAAGACGGCGAAGCCGTTCTTGCCTCAGGCTGATGCGAATTCCCTCCGTACCATACGCGTCAGGCTGTGGAAGTCAAAAATAGAGTAACCCCATTTTTTTGGGTTGCCCTGGTAAATGGAAACATGGACTAAAATCTGCGATCGTCCCCTGGTGGTTTCATATTGACCCACACCCAGGCAACCCGGCTCAAGTTGGCCAACCCACTCGGTTTCCATGCTGGGTTTAACTGAGGCCGATATAAACCGCTATAACCTGTTTTCTCTTTTTTTTTGGGAGGGGGGTCAAAATGGCTTGGCATATACCCCGAAATTCAGGTTGAACTAACTTGGTAATTCAGATCGGCGGTTTGGATTTGGATTTGAACCCCTGGTTCTTGAGGCTAAATGGGAAGCTACCGAGATGAGAACCATACCGCTGGGCTCCAAATCACCCTTTTTAGGGGGGAAGCTGAACAGGGGGCTGAATACCCCATGGTCATGACTGAATTCAGTCTTACGGTATTTTTTCTCCCCCCTGCATTCTGGATTATCTAGGCCCCTAGTGTATCAGATTTCCCCTCGACTTTCCTATCGTGATATCACAGCGAAATGCAATAACCCACGGGCTAAATGCTTATTCATACTGTGGATGGACGAAATCCTGCACCAGTTTTGATGGATGACACCCTGAGTACTGGGATAAACCACCTACCAGCTGTTGCAGGATTTTGTCCACCCACAGTCAGTAGCTTACTCCGTGGCACAATATTGTTATTTTTATTTTACCTGAAAGGATTACTCCTAGAATGACCTAAATCACATTTTCAAGTATCCTGCAGGCAAATTCGATCGAGTTCGGCCCTGCTAGGTCCTTACAGTCTTGCTGTATATATTTGTTGGAGCCAACCACAAGGGAGACGGAAGCGATTCCCAACTTTCCGGTTCAAAACGCTGGCTGTTCTTTGGCTTCAACGCACAAGTGGTCCAAACGCACAAACCGTGCACCCCAGACTTCAAGTGAGTTCAGATGAGTCATAATCACAACCCGGTATTGACATGGCCGAACCAGGTGAAGAACCAAGAAGGCGGAATGCCGCAGCTGTATTTGGTCGGGATTGTCCCTTACTAACCTTCATCTACCCGAATCGGTTTTGATCGTGGCTCAGATGGATCTGGCGATGCAAACTGGGGCAGCGAAGGGCTGACCCTCCTCGGGGTTGGTTTTAAAGGGACGCCAAAGGAAAACCACTCTGGGGATATCCTCTAACAGGCACACCTTTCTGTCCCTGGTGCACCCCCATATTTTGGCGGCTACAAGCAAACAACCTGTTGGGACAAGTATGGGATACCTCCAGGGACAAGGCTCTGTCGTGGTTCCTAAGCGGCGGATGCAGAAAAGCAGAGCTCCTCCCAACATCTCACCCAGCATAGCTCACAAGTGAAATCCGTCCATGCCCCCCAAAACCCCCTCGCCCCATTTGATTATTGGGCAAATGTTGATTCGCCGAATCCATTTGACCCGGTGGTGGCACTGAGTGTCCAGGTATGAGTATGGTTCCGGGGCCAGAACGGAATCCTATAATCGTTGGTGGCGCCTCCTGTCCAGCTTTGGAGGTTCATGACATCCAGCTTTCCAAGAAGGGAGCTGAAAAGGACGGCTTTCCGTGGATCAAACCTGGAAACCAACATGTACAAAATCCCTGGCAGGGCTTCACAAGTGAGGCGGCCCGAGGCGCTGTCCAGGCAGTAGAGCCCCGCAGCCCAAATGGCCAGCAGCAGCAGCAGCGCCCCTTGCCTTAGCTGTTGGCAGTCAGGTACGTCAGGGAAGCGGTTAGAAAGGTTGGTGAGATAACCCACAACAGCCATGGTTGTAAGTCATAAGTCTCCCTTCAGTGGGTTATCTCACCAAGCTTACTAACCACTTACCTGACGTACAATGCCACTTTAAGGCTGTCAGGAACAAAACATAGATCCGTATAGCAAAACTCACCTCCAAACGTTCGGTGGAGGTGGGAATTGGATTTTCCTTTTCCCCTCATGGGAATCTCTTTGCTTGTCCATATGGCCGTGCCCGGGCGAGCCCATCGACTAGTCGAGTGTCCCGTAGATGCGCTGCATCTCCAAAGGCAAAGGCTGCCCCACCTGGATCGCTTCGGTCCCGTTCAAGCCATCCCCAAAAGGGTCCTCCCAAAACAACACGACACACCCACTTCTGGCCAAAAAATCCCACAGCGAAAAATTAAGGAGGAGGATATAGGAGGATTGCATAGGAGGAGGATTGCACCCATTTATGGTGATTCTCCCTTGAACATCCTCCACTCTGGTTTTGATTGCGGCTCACCTTCAGGCAACCAAAAACACGACAAAAGCCGCGGGTTCCGAATGCATCTTCAAGGAGCTCTGCTTCTGGTGGGACCGACCCGTTAGGGATGGCCTGCTTACAGGGCTGCAACTGGATGTTCAACCTGACGACGTTAACCGGCAAAAGGAACATCAAACATCGTTGACGACGTGGCTATGGGTCAAAATTAAACCACCATGAATTGGACCGCAGGTTTTCGTCCTTGGTTCCATTTACCAGAATTCCATTTGAGGTTACCCTGTTTTTGACCACAGCCACGTTAAGGTTGTTAACGATGTTGATACTTGATGTTCAACCTGTTCCTTTTGCAAGCTCCAGCGATGTTCAACCATCAAACATCAACTGGCAAACTAGTCCAGGTGACGTTCTGTTCATCTTCGAATCCTTGCCGGTGCTGCTTATAGCTGCACAACTAGCCCCGCAAAAAGAACCCCGCTCTCACATGGGACCAAGACTGCAACTAAGATGTCCGTCCCCAATTCAAAGGTACCAAAACGGATGGCAGGGATGTTGCTTGATCCCGGTGCAATGAAAGACACCTATACCAAAGAAAAATGTACCGGGAACCCCCATATACTCCGGCAGGTGTAATTCTTCGTTTACCTGAGCTCAACATTAGAGTTCAAACAAAATCAAACTCGAGATAGTGAAGGTGTATACAAATACATAATGTATATATAATAAGTGTGTATATATATATATATTCACAGGCTTGTCTTTTTAGAGGGTACCCTGCTTGGGGTTATGTTTAAGGGAAACGAAGAGGCAACCATCCCTGTTAGGGGGTTTGCCACGTATAAGACAAACCCATACATACAATACACATATATATATATATATATATGTGCATATATAATCAATATATGCTCTGAGGTATCAACATGTGCGAGTTTGTCTCAAAATAAGGACCCGACAAAAACCGGTGGAGTCCATTTTGGTGTCCTATTGACACGAAAATGGGTACCCTCAAAATACAGTCAGGTGAGATCCCCAACAGCCCCGAAACCCTCCCGAACAATCTGGGTATGGGTCAAAATTAAATCACCAGAAAAAAGGAAAGGAAAAAACACCGCAGGTTCTAGTCCAGTTTTCCATTTACCAGGGCAACCGATTTGGGGTACCTATTGTTGACCCACAGCCTGCTCCAAACCACAGAGCTTAATGTTGACCCATGATTAATAAACCCGTCCCATTATTCGGAAAATGGTCCCTCCAAAAGTGGTCTGAATCCCCACTAAAAACTTGGACGCCCCCCAATCAAAATCAACCAGGGGTTCTGCTTCGTCCGGGGTCAACGGAAAGCTCTGCGCTGGAGCCCACGCCTCCGCGCCGAGGCGTTGCAGCGCCACGTCCACGCAGAGGGGCAGCAGGAAGTAGGTGTGCCGGGTCAGCTCCTGACTGAAAACGGGAAAAACACGCGCGCCCCCTTGGGTGCTGGTCAAAGGATCCCCCAGCAAAAAGTGTTTAACTGTTTGCTGCTTAAAAGGAAATACGAGGAGAATCCCAAAGTCTAAAGACCCAACGCAATAGCAGTACAGCCCGAAGTGAGAACATGGACAATGCCGCATGCCCCAACTGTGGCTTCGCAAGGCAGAACAAAAAGAGGTAATGCCTAATTCGAGCAGGAGCTCTTCACTTAGGGCTGCAAATTTTACCGCTCGTGGCCCTATGCAAAATTTGCACAAATGTGCTTGAACCTGTTTCAAACTTCGTGTGACCTTTGCGGCAGGGATGTTGTTTTTTTTTGTCCGCTTTTGAGTTTGAACAAAGGTGCAGGACTTGGCTCAAATCGCAAATTGTCTTTTATTTTTTAAGGTCCTGGCGCCTTAGATGTCTGACATGTACACGTCCCAACCTGATTGAAATACTGAGGCAACAGTTTTGTCAACTGGAAACGATGATGAGACAGCGTTAGTTTTGCAACAAGATGACAATGATTCGCATGGCAGGCATGGCGCCAGCCAGTACTGCTGACAAAGAACTGATGCCATGGGGAAGTCGTGAGGACGATGCCGAGTTGCTAAAGACAGCACCAAACCCTAGGCCCTGGAGCGACGAGCCCGGTGACTTGTGGATTGAGTTAAGCCATCATGCGGAAGGATGGGTGGTGTCAACATAGGAAGAGGTAAGTGGGCAGACATGCTGATGGTGTCATTGGCACACGTAAAGTATTTGTCAAGATCAAAGACCTTAGTCCCATGAGGGAGGTAAGGTCGAGACAGGAAACCTTGGACTTGGAGCCCTCAGCCAAACCTGATGAGTTGTCTTTTCCTTTTTTGTCTCCCTTCTTTTTTCGGGCACCATCCCAAGGAAATTGGCTTGAGAGGATGCCAAAAGCAAAAGCATTGGCTTTTGCGGGTCCCAAGGTTTAGGGCACACTCACTTGCCGCGTGAAAAGCAGGAATGCGGGGAACCAAAATCAAGACACAACTTTGGTGTGACTAAAAAGAGATCTGTGGCGTTGCCATGTCAGACAGGGGGTCCTTTCAAAAGGAAGCCGGTCTTCCAGGTACCCAGGTGCTATGTTTGTGGGAAGGGCAAACACGATCGCATATCCTCTTGAGGCTTTTCGTGGAAATCAAAACCAAATACGGGCTTGGGTTTGTCAAACTACCCCAAACATGGATTTGGTCGCCTGCTGTCCCTTTGATCCAGCCGAAAAAGAATTTGTCTCAAGCATAGGAGCCCTTTTAGGGAAAATGGATATCCCTGGTACATGATTCAACCACCAGGTAAGCCAGGAATCGCCAGACCTATTTTTCGAGCAAAACCACCAAAGAAGGGCACCCTACGGTCTCAAGAAGAAGAGACGCACAGATATGCAGCGATGGTGGAAACGCGTCCTGGCTCCAGGCACCCAGATTCTCCAAGTCCACGTAGGAGTTCTTTCCCGAGTAGCTGCTCCTCAGCTCCAGGGCTCGCTCCATTCTGCGCAAGCAGAATCGCGCGCGCAAGCGGAGGGCGGGGACTGATTTCAGGGGGACTGACAAGAGAGTTGGCAGAAGCTTCAGGGCTCGTTTCCGCTTGTGGAAGAGGGCAGATTAGGGGAACTGACAAGAGAGTTGGCAGATTTGGTGCTGGAGTTTGGGGAATGCCCCTATTAAGCAGGGGGCGGGCTTAATCTTAGCTTCGGATTAATTAATCCTTAAAACACACCCTCTCAAAAGCCTCCTAAAATAGATATCGTTTCCCCACTAAAATCGGCGAAGAAAAACATGGGCAAGCGCCACACCCTTTTTGCCCTTCATTATCCATGGTCACAAGAAAACCGTGGCTCGCATGTCTCGTGTTCCCTTCAGCGTGGCTCACGTGATCAGCTCGATGGCTCAGCAAGGAATGAGTTGGAATGACCCATTTTGAAGCATCCCCGAGTTGGTTTCCCTTAAGACTTTAAGGGACACCCCTTCAGGTTCATTCTCAAAACGCGGAAGCGTCATTTCTTGAGCACCAGCAAGTTAAAGGTGGCAGTGTGCGCCAAGATCCAAGGCAAACCAATTCACCAGGGAAAAAAATCACATGTAGCCCAAGCAAGTAAGCCTCTTCATGGGTAGGGTCCCCCGTCGAAATCACTTGCTCACTGGCGAATTCAGAAGACCACCTCAGGATTCGGATCGACAGAGAAGCTCGCTTCAAATGACGCAAAAGGTTTTAATTCACCGAAGGGAAGTATAAGCCAGCCATCGGAGAAAAAAGAAACTGTTCATTCCGTCGATGATTTTGAAGGGAATCCCACCCACTCCCCAAGAAGCATTCAACAAAAGCGCGTACCACTGGCAGTTTCGGGTCCAATACTAACTTCGGATTCATCGGGAGGACCCTGCTAGGGAGTCGTTCCCCTGTTAGTTTGAACTTGTTCACCACTTTATCCAGGGTTCACTGGACTAGTAGATTTCTCCGGAATTTCTTCCGTCAGCATTCATGGGAACCAGGGATTCCAAAACCAGTCTCGCTTGCGCACGCCTCCGACGACTCACTTCCCCGGATCTCCCCGGACCCCTGGATTTTTTTCACGTTGCCCCATGTGGCTGTGGCTCAAATAAATGTACCAAAACGGCCCCTTTTGGAAAATGGCTGCCCAAAGAGCAAAAAAACCCGCGGCTTTTGCCCAACCCTGGCTCCAACAAATCTTGAGCCACCGCCGGGAGTCAACTCTGCACCCCCCAGGGCGCCCGCCCGACGCGCCAAACGCCGCTCGCGCCGCTCGCGCTGCTTTTCTAAGCGGCTGGAAGGTCGCCTCCCCACTGACCCAGTGGGCCACGTCCTGAGCCGAGCCGGGGGATTGCGAGAATGCGCGGGACGGAGGGAAAACAAATAACCCGGGGATTCCACAAGGAATGGGTAATGGGAAACGAAACCACAAGGAAAACCACAAGGGATGGGTTTTTGTGGGGGTCAAAATGAAGGGAAACCACAAGGGATGGGTTTTTGTGGGGGTCAAAATGAAGGGAAACCACAAGGGATGGGTTTTTGTGGGGGGTCAAAATGAAGGGAGACCACAAGGAATGGGTTTTTTTTGTGGGGGTCATTTTCAATTTTGTCATTTCATTCCCTCATTCCCCGCCTTCGGGTTGGACATCTGACAGACAAGCGATCTCTGTGACTCGCTTTCGGCGAGATAGATCTTCATCCGCCAGTGTCGGCGTGCGCAGGGTCAATTAAATGCCATGGTTCCGAAAAAGCCCGCAGCAACCCACCGAAACAGCCAGTTTTGGAGACGAACATGGTTGAAAACATCCGGCAACTTGCCTTTATAAGGGGACATGCAATGGGAGCCCCTGAGTTTTCCACCGAGTCGGTCGGGAAAACTGGCCGACTCACCGACTCGCCGACTCGGTCCTGGAGGAAGAAGCCCAGCGCCAGCATCGCCAGAAAGGCGCGGGAACCGCACTTGAGGCGCCCAGCTAGGTCCAGCAGAAGCAGCACCAGGCCTTCCATCGCGCGGCTTTGCGAGCACGTCGCCTTCTCCAGGAAGGGTAAAGGGAACCCTTTCTCAGAAAGGAAGGGGAAGAAGCCTAACCTAGGTCCTCCAGATTAGAGAGGTTAGAACAATTTGGTACCCATGTTGTTCTTGTTTTGTCTATTTTAGTAGGGGAACCCTCCCAACCAAAAAAGGGGAGAGAAGGGCACTACTGGGGGACCTAGTCGACTACCTCCTCCCCAAATAAAAGGGAAGATTCCTCTATTGTATCACAGAAGTGGATAATGGCGGTGCGCCAGCGCGTCGCGATGTGAAGGACATAAATCTGCAAGGGAAGCAACTCAGAAGCAGGGATGGCCCATCCAAAAGATGATTCCGCGAAAATCGCGGTTTGGGGGTTCATGTTTCTTCGGATATGGAAAATCACTCTGGATATCGGTGTGGGTTGCAGTCCAGAGATCCGCTGGGTGAACGCTAGCAGCTTGTGTCTGTGCCCTCTTCTAGAATGATGGTAGAACGTAGTCAACCCTTCTTTCCAATAAGCAAGGAAGTGGAAAGGGAGTGCCTTCTCAAAAGACCCGTTGTCTTCCAAGACTTTTCCGTCTGCGTCCATGTTTGTTAGAAAAAGGGTATCTGCGTAAATTCTAGTTGATGGCGATCTGCGTAGATTCTAGTAGCTGGCAAATAAATGATAACACTTCACAACCACATGTTCAGAATATCTGGGTAAATATTATTCTAACAACCCCCCTGCAAATTAACTGAAGGGACCCCGAACTGGGGTCCCTAAATGACGAGCACCACTTTAAACTACAAAAAACTATTGTCAATGCTTCTGCCACTAAGAAGTCCTTTTGCAGTCCCAAGGATTGCCATTCCAGGTCTCCAAACATCAGCAAGCCAGAAACAGTAAGCTTCTTACTGGAGCTTCACTATGTGACATCTTACTACAGCTTGCTTAAAACATCAAGGCTAGACAAGCTCATAAATGACCACCTTCCTATTGTCGATCTATTGGCCAGTACCAAAGAGGACACCCTTGTGGCATCTTGTAGTATTTGCTCGGAGTAAGTCCGGGAAGCAGTATCCATGATATGAGTGACGGGCAAAATACTGTTGCCATGAAGGACATGGGGAAATGTGTGTATATTATATATATATATATTATGTTTTGTGTGGTTGAAAATGATAGTAGAGCTCGCCGCCCAATATTCTTGCCAAAGCCATACACAAACCTGCACATGTTGACCGAATATGAACCAGATGGAACAACCTAAAGTGGCCAGTAGGAATGTGTATTGGGCGTTGCTCAATGGGACAAAGTGATCCCAAATGGATAAAACTCACTTCACACCACTGTGGATAAAATGGTTTTCCCTCTAAAAGTAACGATAAGGGGTACCAACTCGAAAAAAGGCACACCCATTTTGGCCCACGACCTTTCGCCGCGACCAAGAAGCCGAGAGTTGCCACGTAGACGTTGGCTGGCAAAGCCTCTGGGCGGCTTCTTCGGAAAAGGCAAATGCTTCCCCAAGAGGACGTCTGGGTGTGGCTCAAAATTAAAGAGCTCCCATGGAAGTTGCCAGGGGCCCTGCAAAAAATATGCAAAGATGGGACCCCCCCAAAAAGGGAACCAAGAAAGCTCCAAAAAAGGCCTTCAGTAGTCGCTAGAAGCCCCTTTTCTTTTGGGATTGGGGGGCCTTATTGGGGGACCCTTAACTTCATAGGAACAGCTGGGGTTACGCGAGTCTTAGTCTTTGTTTCCATATACCTTTTGGTGCCATTTTGGCCACCATTTTTTTGAGTCAAACACATGAGAAAACTGGGTGGTCTTACTGGCCGCACTTTGTTTTGCTATCAGGGAACCCAGGAATCGAACCGAGAACCGTGGAACCGAACCGTACGAACCGAACCGTCTGCGAACTGTTGTTTTCACAAGCCGAACCGAACCGAACCGTCCAGAGGAAAACAACCGAATCGTTAGGTTTAGAGCTTGGCGAGCAGCCAGACAAGGCTCCCTCAGACAAGAATGCAACTTCAGCCAAAATGCTAACAATTTGCTCTTACATAGCCATGCTGACCAGGGAGCCAGTCACTTAGCTGGACAGGGTCCAAAGACATAAGTGGTCCCTCTGGAGTAGGCCCAAGTACAAGCAATCTCCCAGGTTGCTAAACAAAACTAAACTTCAGCAGCCCAGGGCAGGCTGTGATGCATTGCAAAAGATATCCCACCAAAAGCGACCTCAAGGCCCTTGCCCTTGCTCAACCAACATATTGGGGGAAGGTATCTGCTGGCGGGACTGAGCTGATGAGACTGGAGGTGAAGCTGGGCGTATGGCTGCTAACTGACGGTGGCGGTGAAGTGGTGGGTCGGGCTGGAAAGGCTCGAGGTGAGGCTGGTGAGGCTGGAGGCAGGCTAAAGGTAATCGGTGAGGCTGGAAGTGAGGCTGGAGATGAGGCTGGAAGTGAGGCTGGAGCTGAGGCTGGAGATGAGGCTGGAGGTGAGGCTGGTGAGGCTGGAAGTGAGGCTGGCGAGGCTGCAGACGGCTGGGTCGTGAGAGTGGTGGTGGAGCTGAAGGTGAAGCTGGAGGTGAGGCTGGAGGGGATGCTGGTGAGGCTGAAGGGGAGGCAGGTGAGGCTGGAGGGCTGGAAAGTGAAGGTGGCTGGTGAGGTGAGGCTGGAAGTGAGGCTGGGCAGACGCTGGAGGTGAAGGTCGTGAGAGTGGAGGTGGAGCTGAAGGTGAAGCTGGAGGTGAGGCTGGTGAGGCTGGAGGTGAGGTTGGAGGGGATGCTGGTGAGGCTGAAGGGGAGGCAGGTGAGGCTGGAGGTGAAGGTGGTGGGGCTGGAGGTGAGGTTGGAGGGGATGCTGGTGAGGCTGAAGGGGAGGCAGGTGAGGCTGGAGGTGAAGGTGGTGGGGCTGGAGGTGAAGGTGGTGGGGCTGGAGGTGAGGTTGGAGGGGATGCTGGTGAGGCTGAAGGGGAGGCAGGTGAGGCTGGAGGTGAAGGTGGTGGGGCTGGAGGTGAAGGTGGTGGGGCTGGAGGTGAAAGCGAAGGTGAGGCTGGTGAGGAGGCTGGTGTGATGCTGGTGAGGCTGAAGAGGGGGACGTGAGGCTGGAGGTGAAGGCAGGTCAGGCTGGGAAGGCAGGCGACGCTGGAGGTGAGGCTGGAGGTGAAGGTGCTGCAAGCAGCAGGCTGGCTGGAGGAGGTTGTAAGGCTGGAAGTGAGGCTGGTGAGGTTGAAGGGGAGAGGTGCAGCTGGGGGCTGCAGGCAGGCTGGAGGTGAGGCTGAAAATGAGGCTGGAGGTGAGGCTGGAGGCGAGGCTGGTGAGGCTGCAGGCAGGCTGGAGGTGAGGCTGTGAAAGTGGAGTTGGGGATGGAGGTGGTGCTGAAAGTGTTAATGAGTGCCTTGTGATAGAGACAGGAGGCTGGCACGCCGAGGCTAAGAGTGTGGCGCGCGGCTGGAAGTGGCACAGTGCAATCATCCGTGAACCGAAAAAATACCATAGTAACCGAACCGAACCGAACCGATTTCAGATGAGAAACCGAACCGAGCCGTAATTAAACAGGTTAGGTTTCTGGAAACCGAACCGAACCGAACCGTGGCCACTCTGTGCTATGCACCAAGGTAACCCCAAGGGGGTAAAGGGAAACCACCAAAGAAAAGGGAACCCACGTCTCTGACTTTAATCCAGTCAAAACAATGACAGTCAGCTGCCCCGAGTTGGTGGTTTGGTGGCTAAGGGGCACCTGAATACCGGCCAATTCCACACGAAGCAGATGCACCTAAAACCGATACCCAACCTGCAAAACGGAGAGGAACATCCCTAAAATCCCTAAAACGGACGCCCTGTTTGTTTCTGTCCGAGCTCAACTCGACAAGGGTCCCCCTCAGGGGCAATCCGAGTAATCGGAACCCATTCACAAGTTGGTTGATTTTGATCGGGGAGTGTGAAAAACTTTGGGAATCTCCCCAGCCCCCTAATGAATCCGGAACTCCGCGAATGCCCACTTTAAACATCACACCCCGCCTAAAGGCAACTCAATTTATGGCCAAGGTGATGTTCAGATCACCACTCCGAAGAGCCATGGTTGTGGACAATTGCCTTTGTTGTGGGCCATCCCCCTGACTAGGTTATCCCTTTAAAGGGATTCCCTTGTTTCCGCATAATGCAGCACTAAACCTAAATTGTTCACAACCAGAACTATGTTGGGACCTTTTTTGGATGGATTTCAAGGGAAGGCAAAAGGTGCACCGACCTAGAGCTCGAATTCTTATTTTGATAATCGCCCTAGCGACATTACCCAAACCCCCAGTAAAATGTCCATGGCAAGAACGGGCACTCATGTTGTGGTTGCTGAGTTGAACGGACCCCACTACAACCCTGCAAGGTGAAACTTTTGTGGAAGGTGAAAAACATGCATTTGCTTACACTTACGTGCAACACAAAACTAAGAACCCCTCCCCCCAAAAAAAAAACAAAAAAGAAGAAAAGAGCCAAACAAGAAAAAACAGCCGCCACTGTAGACTGTGAACATCATGCATGGGTTACAAGTATTCCCCCCCCCCAAAAAAAAGAAAAAGAAAAGAGCCGAACAAGCAAAAACAGCCGCCACTGTAGACTGTGAACATCATGCATGGGTTACAAGCATTCCAAAAAAAAAGGAAAAACAAAAAGAAGAAAAGAGCCGCACAAGAAAAAACAGCCGCCACTGTAGACTGTGAACATCATGCATGGTTACAAGTATTCCCCCCACCTAAGAACACAAAAAAAAAGTGTTTACTTAGTTAAGGGGGAAAAAATACATAAAAAACAAGCACTACAGGAGGGAGTCAAACAAACCTTCAACGCCAAGGTGCCGGCACGAGGCTCAGCATGTAAGCAGCCGCCAGCACACCCGGCGTCCATGTCCTGACGAACCCCCCCCTGGGTTGAAGCCCTGAAATGGAAGGAGGGGGGGGGGTTCATGTCTTCACAGCACGAATAAACAAATGTCCAAAAACAAGTGGCCGCGGGAGAGAAACAAAAAACAAACAGGGACCACACATGAAAAAACTAATACACAAAGCCTCAACCAAACAAGAGCCGCCGATATGTTCGCGTGAATTTCACAGCACAAGGACACTTCTCTGTGAAGGTGGCCCAGATGCTTCACCAAGCTGAAAAGGGAAACTATGGACGTGTCTCAAAATAGGGAAGTCCCCCGCAAAATGCGTGGTTCCCTCTTGGCTTCCCTTCCAAACCGCCCCAAAATTAGCAGGGGCTCCCACCAAAATCCCGCCGCACCGCTCCAGGGACCCCTCAAACACGTCGGCTGGCGGCGCCGAGCGGCGAGAGAAACCGCCGCAGGAGGCCGCAGAGGCCGAGGACTCCCAGGGGGCTGCAGAAACAGTGGCACCAGACCTGAGAAAAGTTTAAATGCCCCACAAGGAAACCATTTGCCTGGTGGGATAGGTAGGGAATGACCTTGTGAGTCCAGTGTTGGGAATGAACCGGTTTTGGGGGATTAACAATATCTTGCCTCAGTTGCCCCCTAGGGACCCACAACATAAAAGGCGATCACCTTTTGGGGCCACTAAACATCGATCAAGATGGAGATACCAAAAGGTCAAAGGCTGGCTTTGGGCAACTGAGTTGCTGGTGCGATAGGCGTTGGGAGTGAACCGTTTGGGGACTCCCGAAAAAAGGACTGAATAGGATGGATGCTTTCTTTCTTCTTCTTTTGTTTTTCTTTGTTGCTTGTTTGTTTTTGTCCTTTCCGGTGTCGTTCCAATTCTCGTTCCTTGCTGAGAACCCGCAAGACAAACTTGACACTGTTACTCCTGCTTCTGTTGAAGCGGATATGGAAGCCTTTCAGCAGGCGGAACAGGAGGAAAAACATTCCAGCTAACCTAACGCGACTTGGGAGTTGGAAAACAGCAAACCCCCAGCTTGTGGGGGCACGCAGTTTGAGGAACACCCGGCAAAAACGAGAATCGACATAAGTGAAGGGCGATCAGCTTTTGGGGCCGAGGGAACCCAGGTCGAAAAGTTGATTTGGGCAGCTCCGCAGCGGCCATGGGGTCATCTCTCTCGTTCGACCGTTTGCTCTATATAAACCAGTCCAAAAAGTGCAAAGTCCAGAAACTCGGGAAGCCAGGACACGGAGAAACTCGTGTAGGGGACCCTTTTGGTTTAAAAGGGAAACCAAAAGGACAGCCACAATTTTTGGGGGTCCCACTAAAAAAAGACATTCCCACACTTCCCCAAGAAGAAGTCGAAAAAAAGGATGAAATCCATTGGGCAACTGGGATGTGAGGGTGCAACCCTGGCACCCTTTCATGTTCATTTCTCCCGGAAGCATTGCGAAGGGCTCTTCATGACGCTGTGCATCCGCATGCGCAAGTCACATGGGTGTCTTCTTTGGCGCTTGATTTCATCCCTCGCGTGTATCCCTGTTACCCCTTTTGCAAGCTGCTGAGCCGCGCGTTGCTTCGGGGCTTTGCGACTCGCCCTCTTTCTCGAACCATCTTGCGCTAGAACCACCAGCTAGCTTTGTAGGCCCAAGGGTTCAGAGCACCCGGTGAAAGCTGATAGGGCGGATATTCCTAGCTCTGGTTGGGGCTGTTCCCAAGCTTCAACCCGAGATTTGATCGTGGCAGACGCAAGGTCAAAAAAAAAAAGCTCACGAAACAAGTACACCCTCGAGAATGGCAGAGTATAAAGCTGCTAGGCCTTTGCGGGTTTGCTTGGAGGCTTCATGGCGGGTGCAGAGGTCAAACCCTAGTGGCGATATGGGACTACAATGGATATGTGTAACAATGGTGAGTTATTCACTGGGAGCCGACTGCAGGTTATGCCGCGAGAGGAAGCCAACCGCCATTTGCTGGGAAAACATATTTCCAGTAGTGACGCATCCCCTTTAAACCCAACAGGCGGAACATGGTGTTCTTTTTCAGCAAATGGAAGCCAACCGCCCGAACCAAGAAACTGACACCCTGCCATGCACTTTCCCGCAAAAGCGAATCGAGCGATCGAGCCATCCAGCGATCCAGCCGCATTGAAGGAGCTCTTGTGGAATTCAGAGAAGGCTGTCAGCAGGAGGTGATAGGCTTCCTCGAGCCGAGTTGAATTCCACAAGGGAGTGGGATGTTGGTTTCCACACGCCCGTGGCGCTTTCTCAGCTCTGGGTCCACATCTGAAATACACAAAAATAAAACACATGTTCCAATTCTGCCCCATACTTAGTCCGTCAAAATATGGCACAGTTTTGGAGGATACCCCAGAATTGACTCCTTCCCCATGTAGAGGTTGCCATCACCGAACTGGGAACCCGGTTCCCATAGGTCATAGGCTTGCAGAAACCGTGCCATGCTGCCGGCTATGGGGGGGATGGGGGGGGGATCCGGATCGGGAGGAGCCACTTGGGTTGATTGGGAGGCGCCTCCAAACCGCATACAAATGTCTCATGTCAATGGTCGCAACCATCCATGCAGATTGTTTCCCTCTTGAACGCTACAATGGACAAATGGAAACACCAGGAAGAACACTACCATGGTCCGCAATCTTGAGCAGATTGTCACTACCCTTTTCCGCGTATCTTGAACACTACAATGGACAGCAAGCCCCCGCGTCGATGGGCAAATTGCCTCAGTCTCTGGTCAACTGTTCATCTCTCAAAGTATGCGAGAAGCCCCAAGGGGGGGTCCTGCGAGGACATTCCTGGGTCTGCATGTTTGACTAAGCAAAGGGTCTGTCAGCTGGGTGTTGCCCGACAGGGGAGCCTGCAAAATGCCGGCCTTTCCCTTGTGCCTTGTCCCGAAGCTCAGCCATCCAGGGGCACAAGGCCGGAAAAGCTCTTTGCACTCGAAAAACAGAGGGTTCCCTTGTTGCACAATGCGTGAGGACTGAGCCGCATGTTCCAAGGGTGTACCCCAAAGCTCTGGGGTACCCAGGGTGTACTGTAAACGCCACAAAAGGTGGGCTTTCTTGCAGAAAAAGACAAGTTGTGTACAAGCGCCAAAGGGGTATATGACGTTGCCATTTTGACACGTTTCTTCCGTTGTCCATTTCAATATCTGGCCAATAAAACTGCAAGCTGCATCCGGGATTTTCGTTTGACCCCCTGGAACAGGTAATAGTGATGTCAGTTAATGAGGAAACCAATATTTCCGAAAAAGCCAAAGATGACAGGTCGAATGATGAAGTAACCTCGGCTCCTAACTCCAGGCAAACTGGACAGCAAAATTGGACTCTGCCTCGCTTGTCGAGACTTAAGCCCTGTGCAAAAGGTTAGCGTCGTGTGGGTTGGAAGGGAACATGCAGGAAAACTGAAAGGCGCAAGGCAAAGAAGCCGAACGTCAACAAGGTAAGCTAAGTCTCGCAATGCCCATCCTAATTACCAATTAGTCTGCAGCTTCCTCGTATTGATCGGAAAATCAAGCTTGAAACTACCTCCCCCCCCCACCGACAAAAAGAGAGAGCGACCATAGCGACCCAACAATCATAGGACTCACACCTTATTAGGGCCCTGGTTCGGGAAAGCAGGAAAAGGCCGCGGTGGGGTTGAGAACAGCACCGCTCTATCAGCCCGTTCAAGATGCGTACGCATCGTGCAGCTCGAGGGCATCGCCTGGCACTGAGCTTCATGGAACCTGATTCGTTCACTAGGCACGAGTCATAATCAAACATTATGGTATTTGGGGAGTCGCAACCCCATGGCAGCCATGTAGAGATTTTTCAAGCGGTGCCATTTTTTCTGATTGGACTTTCATTTACACCCTTCATGTAATCCGGCTTTGATTGTGGCGCGCATCGAAGCTTGGTGAGACGTCAACCATCCAGTCTCGAGCTGAAATGCTAAGCCGTTCCTTCAGCGGTCACGTTAGGTCACACATGTTTTTTTCTTCCCGGTGGTTCACCTGAATTGCTCCAATTCTTGGTCTTCGACCCAAACCTTCGCTGGATTTCGCTGAGCAAAAACAAGGGCACCCTTGCCTGGGTCGATTTTCGCGATCGGTCTTCCAAGTTTCCGTGGAGCTGCGTGTCAAGGTGCGGATTAAAAATATTGACACCACAACTTGGCGGTGTCTGGTCGGTTTCCCTGAGAAAAAAAAAAAAAAGCTGGACAGGCCGCCAACAGGAAACGGGCACAAGTCGTACCGCAGGGCTGGCTGGGGACCGATTTCAGGGGCTCGTCTTATCAGTTGCACCCACTCAACGCGATGCTCACATGCGGGTAGAAGTTTGGGTTTGAACACTCTTTGTTGAGGCTACCTCTTGTTTTTGTCATTTTTTTGGGGGATTGAACGAAAAAAAGCGGGACAACCACCATGTCAGGAGCTCCCTATTCTGACACACCCAAAGATCTACCCTATTGTGATGAGCTGTTGGCCAAACCCGCAGGAATTTGAGGCGTCCAATCAAACCCGACCACTAATTGTATCATGTGACTTTAATGTTGGACCAGCCATTTTTGCCCAGACCATCCATTTTAACCCGCGAAATTGAGCGGTGATGGTAATTGGTTTTTCTTCTGGGGCCCCTTCGAGTCACCAGAAGTTGCAGCTTCCTCTAAATCGTGGCTGGGGAGGGAGGGAGGGGAGGGGGAGGCCGGCGAAAAACAAGGCCTTGAGAAGGCCCCCGCGGAGCCTCTCGCTTAGCTGAAGATGGTCACAAGAGAGTCCAAACGCGGAGCATCTGCTCAACTCTGAGCCCAGCGAATTCTGCGCGAAGCTCTGCTCATCTTCTCACTACGGATGCGTAGCTTTTTTGCCGCGAAAATCGTAGCATTCAAGAGTCACTGGAGTTCCCCGTCAAAAGTTGCAATTGACGCTTGCCTTGAAACTCCCACTTTTGGAGGTTCCAAAAAGGGAAATGAGTCACAATCAGCCCTGGTAATAAAATGGTCCACTCAAATCCATGCAAGGAAGTTAAAGGCGGATATCCGCACCTATTTCTGGCTGGGACCCTTACTAACCTTCATATACCCGAATCGTTTTTTTTGAGCAAGTGGCTCAAATGGAGGAAACCACGTCATTGTCGGCAAAAGCACAACGAAATTCCAGATCAAACCCGGAAACGCGTTCAAGTCACCCCGCCCGCGACCCAGCGACCCGGCGACAAGGCGACCTGTGACGTTAGCCATGGGCTGCCACAGCCCTATGGATAGGCTCCCCTAAGAGAAGTCAGGTGCGAAGACATGCCTTCAGATCTTTTACCCGGTCAAACATATATATATATATATTATGTGTATTTAATGATGATGATGCAAACAAAGCGTGTTGTTTGTGGCAAGGTTAATTGGTGGCGAGCACTTCTTTGGACGTGTCCAGACAGGTCTGCCGCGCGTGCAAGTTTAACCAGTGGTCTACGTCTTATCGCTGTAAGCCGACGCAGCCGACGCAGGCTTCGGGCAAGCTGTGAACTTCGAGCGAGTGCGTAGAATGGAAAGGAAGAAGACGGGTGGGCTCCGAACCAATCGTCAGGTTCGTCCATGGAAAAGCAAGGACAAGCCAAGGGCCCCATACCAAGTGTCTAGCCTTGCGGGTTGGTCATTTGAGGGTCGGAGCGAGCCTCAATAGGGCAACCCTTGGTGGGCATCGCTTTGCGGTAGACTTGTCAAAAACCATTTTGAAGGATGTTGCAACACATCGCAGCTTGTAGGCGAACAGCTTCCAGACAGAACAAGCTTCCCCGCTAAGTTCCCACTTGATTTTCGGAATTTCTGGGCCACCAACTGAAATGGCAAACTGAAAACCACGGTACCCACCACCATGCCCTGAGAGCGTTGAGACTTAGCAATGAGCAACTTGCTGGGCGCACCGCCCAAAAGCCGACCAAAACATGCTTGTCGGCCTGGTCGTTAGGAAAAGAATTGGAACAAATGTTGTTTGTGGTAAACTCGACGTTCGGCGTGGAGCTTATCAATCAAACAAGGAATTCAAGGGCGGTAGAAAAAGGCAAACATTGTTGGAGATGATTCTATGAAAGGGGTTTTGACAATGGTACAAAAAAAGGATACCTTTTAGACTCCATGTTGAGTGGAAAGCTCATGATATAATCCAGAGCAATCATAATGGGCAGCTAACAAAACCATGTCTTTTTTTCCATTTTTTTCGGAGGATGCAGCTTTTCAGTAGCGCATCCCAAACAAAAATTTGAGGGCGGTACCACCCAGCAACTCCTTTGCGGTTGCTCTGGCTTCGGCAAGCTTCGGCTTTTGCTTGGAGGGATCCGTTGGCACCCCGAACACGGGACATGGGTCCATAAACCCCGGGCTCGCCGGAGGTTTGCTGGTCAGCCACATGGGAATCATTTTTTTTTTTGTTCTCACCTTTTGGTTGGGGTTGGAAAGGAACCCCCAAAAGGAAAGCGCCAACAATCAACACCCATCCCACAATACCGAAACCCAACTAACCTCATCATGGTTCAGCTGGCGATCTCTGGCGCAAACGCCACAGAGTTTGACATCCGATTCCAATAGGGTCGACAGACCAGGCCGCTTCCGGACTCTGAGTTCTTCCTTTTCTCCGTGGAGGAAGTCCTGCAAGACTGAACGAGATTTTAGTAAAGCACAAGAAATCCATCCTGCACTCAGGCAGAGACTTCGAGCGCACAATTGCCTTCAACATGTCTTCCATCTAAACCATCGGGCAAAAGCCTTTGGCATTGCCAAATGGCAAAATGTGAAAGGAGGTGGCAAACATTGGTGTCTCTGTTGTTGAACCTTTTGGGATTCACGCTTCGATTGGGATGCCAAAAGGCGACCAGCTATCTTGCGGGATCCAAATCCTACTTTGAGACGAACCCATTCGTTGCCCCCAGCTCGTTGCCAGCTAGGCAAGTGAGGCAAAAGATAGGCTGCTCCCCGACCGGGGGCATCGGTTTCTCGCTTCCTTCACCTTTGGCTCGATGTCAAAGTGCTCCTGCGTCTTGAAGTTGGTTCTGTTTCGAAAGGGAAGCCAAACATGACAAATTTCCACTTAGGAGTTTGCCCAATCTGGAAACACCAGCGAAAAAATGCGTGTTTCCCGTCGGTTTCCTCTTTAACCAAGCTAAAAAGAAGTCCCCTCACAAAAACACATACCCAGTGGGATGACGCAAAGGTAAAGGGTCGCGGTCCTTTTTACCTTCCCCAAATGACATACAATCAAGCAGGAACTGGGAAGGCAGAAATGGAATAAAACACCATGTCCTGGCCGGTCCCAATCTTGGTTGTTTGTTCGTTGGTGTTGTCCTGCAGATGTCGTTTAGGGCCCTGGTGTATGTTTCTCTCCTTTTGCACAGGGATTGCTGAGACCCTCGCAGTCAGCGTAGTTTGGAATCGTGAACAAGCCCAAACCTTTCTGAGGGCCTTGCTGCAGAAGCGTTTGATTGGTCTTCGGCATTGCCGATTGCCGCTGGGTCCCGTGAGAAAGCATTTGCATGCGATGTGCCCTTCCAAACATGCAGAAGGAGGCGCCTCTTTTGCCCAAGGCGACGCTTGAGCATCTTGCTGGTCTTTGCCATTGCTTGCTGAAAAGTGCTTGGGGTACCTGGCCAAATGCCGCGAAAGAGGTCAACGTAGGTATCCTTCGAACCTACTTGTCATGAAAAGCAGCGGGATCGTCTGCGGGGAGATTCACTCCTTTCTTCGACTTTGGCGGCATGGCCAACCGAAGCTCTTTCTAACCCTTAGTATGTGTTTAGAAAGCTCTTGTTCTTTTCCCGCAAAAGAACAAAAAACAACACCAAGGAGCCACAACGAAATAACCCGTGACTGCCAAGAGTAGCGCCAGAAATGCTGCGCGGATCTCACCCTCCAGCGATCCGTCCTGCGGGCTCTAGGCATCTCAGAATCTTCAAAGGCGCGACGGTCCGAAAGCCTCGGCGCATAGCGTGGCTGGACTTAGGACCCAGCAAAAAACTATGTGTTTTTTGCCTGGTTAGCAAAAAACCAAAAGCATCACAGCCCCGTGATCATTCCCGCGCATTTTTTTTGCTCGACGTGCAATCTGTCAGCTACAAACAGCCATCAGCTACACCAAGAGGAGCGCTTCACCTTCGAAGGCGTTTCCTCCACCCTGGAACAAGCGGAGCGCTTCACTTTCGCTTGTTGCTCGTGACCTCCAGCTTTGCGGCGAGCAGGCCCTTCTCTTCCCTGAGCGCGACAGTCCGAGCCCGATTATCAAGCGCTCGAGCCATCCAGAAATGGAGATGCGTCGCGTGCAATGTACATGAATGTGCTTGCAAGGCGCTCTTCAATGTAGGTGCAAGACCGCAAACCACGCGACCACTTCCAAAGACCAGTCCGCAAGCAACAAATGCGCACGGCGTCACGGCGAGAGCGCTTCGACACGCACGATCCCCGCAGAGGGTTCGTCGGGCACTTTGCAAATTCGCACGGCGCCGCAGCGAACGCCGATCATCGCAAAAAGTCCTCCGTTTTTCAACATCGACCACGCCGATCTCCGCAGAGGGTCGCGCGCACAGATTAAGAATCGTAAAAAGTCCCGAGTTTTTCAATATCGACAACGCCGATCTGTGCAGAGGGTGTTAAAAATGAAAGTCCTCAGTTTTCTGAATATCGACCACGCCGATCTCCGCAAAGGGTCGCGCGCACACCGCAGAAATCGTAAAATGTCCTCAGATTTTTAACATCGACCACGCGAATCTCCGCAGAGGGTCGCACGCGCACTGCAGAAATCGTAAAATGTCCTCAGTTTTTTAACATCGACCACGCGAGGGTCGCGCGCACAGATCACAAATCGCAAAAAGTCCTCAGTTTTTTAGCGTCGACCACGCCGATCTCCGCAGAGGGTCGCGCGCGCACCGCAAATCGTAAATGTCCTCGGTTTTTCAACGTCGATCACGCTGATCCCCGCAGAGGGTTGGTTTTCGTAGAGTGCTGTCGGCCCTACCCCGCTGCCCTAAGAAGAGAAGAAAGGAATTTAAAACTCCTCTCATGACAACTCTCATGAGCATGGCTCCTCGTCAGTGACTCTCACGAGCATTGCTCCTCGCAAGTGACTCTCATGAGCATTGCTCCTTGCCAGTGACTCTCACTAGCGTTGCTCCCCGCCAGTGACTCTCACGAGCATTGCGCCTCGCAAGTGACTCTCTGTGCAATGACTCTGTGCAATGGCTCTGTGCAATGACTCGGTGCAATGACTCTGTGCTATGTCTCTGTGCAATGACTCTCATGATGACGATGATGATGATGATGATGATGATGATGATGATGATGATGATGATGATGATGATGATGATGATGACTCTGTGCAATGACTCTGATGATGATAACTCTTGCAATGACTCTCATGATGATAGCTTCCATGAACCCAACGGAAGAACCCTTCGCCATGCTTTCGGGAAAAGCAACACAAATGAAAAGGGGAACAAATTCTGGGGAAGGGATCCCCGTTTTTTGTGGGAACCAAAAGGAAAGCCGTTGCGCCATTTTAGTCGCCAGCGAGTATTAAAATGGTCTAGCCAACCCGGGTAAGGAAACTAAAAGGCGGTCGCGCCTATGTCTGGCCGGGACTGCCCCATGCTAACCTTCATCTACCCGGGTCTTGAGCAAGTGGCTCATTTGGGCGCGGAGGGTCCCTGAAAAAACGATGCACACCCATATGCGGCTCAAACTTAAGGACCGGGACAGACTTGGTTGCTGTGTTCCTCAGCCCTTTAATTCCCTTTATACATCCATAGAGTCTCACTGCATACATATTTGGAGCCAACCCCAGCGACTGAACCCGATGGGTCCCCTGGTAGACATGGCTTCAGGGACGAAAGGGGAATTCTGGGCTTCTTCAACCCCCCAACTTTCGAGCCCATGTGGCTAAAGTCTGACTCTTCTTTGCGGGCTACTCAAAGTGATTCGGGCTAGAAATGGGTGTGTCTTTTTGGGGGGAAGCCTCTTTTTTGTTTGGTTTTAAAGAGAAACCAAAAGGAAATCACCATTTCGGGGTCCGATTCCTGCAAAACGACACACCCATTTGGAGCTAAAGCACGTAACAACTTTAAACAAAATCGGTCCAAATGAACTTTTACCCACGAATCGGACGCATACTCTGCCCAACCAACAAATTTACCTCAAAGAAGGCCTTACGATTTCCGCCGCGTTGGGGTCGTTTTTGGTGAACAGGGGTCAAAGGGCAACTCCGTCCGACCGAGTGACATGAGTCACTTGATCAAAACCTGGTAGGGAGTCTACCAGCCATGTAAAAGAATCAAACGGGCAGATATCCGCAAACGTTTCTGCTTGGGACATGGCTGTGGCTCAAATAAATGTACCAAAATGGGCCCCTTGGTAAATGGAACCAAAGACCAAAACCTGCGTAACCCCAGCTCCTTAATTTTGAGCCACAGCCACATGTCTTCACCCTTCATGTAGCCAGGTTTGACTGTGGCGCGCATAGAAGTTTCATGAGACTTCAACGCCTCTCCCTCTGTCTCTGACGGAAAGTCTAAACCACTCTTTCAGTGGGTCACTTTATTTTGCGGGCGTCAAAAGCCAAACCGGAAACCAAAGGAAATCAAGCCAGTCATCGACGGTGTTTTGATCATCCTGCTCCTAGCACGTATTTACAGAGTTGCAGTGCCCCCGAGTTTTGAGACACCTTTTTATTCAGTTGAGGTCATTGAACCCTCGTCACTGGCCAGCACTGATAATCGATAGTCACGATTAGGCTGCTATCGCAGCGCTTGCAGCTCATCACAAAAAAACACGTGTTGGTGTCCTTTTTGATTTCTCCTACAATTATAAACAGCAACGCGGAAAAAACTGCTACCCTCCTGTCCACTAACATGGAACCCACCAGAGAAATGGTCCCTTTTAATTTCAGAAAACTGTCTTCCCCACAAATCCTTACCTTCTGCACCTGAACATTGCAACTTGTAAATGGTGGGAACCCCCTTATTTTGGTGTTGAAAAAGCAACATGTTTCAAATGGTTGCAAAGTGACTTTCTTTTAAGGAGCCCTGTTCCACCCCCTCAGTCAGGTTCCGTGAGCAGGAGGCTACTTTGAATGAATCCCTCCCATCTTCTCGCCCAGCGGCCTCACTGGCCGCTCGCCCGCTGCGAAAACCACGCAGCTTGGGACTAGAGGAGTGGTGCTGTGAAAGACATGGCTGCGGCTCAAAATTAAACGATCGGAGGGGCAGACCGCAGGTCTTGGTGCCATGTTTCCACTTGCCAGGGCAACCCATTTTGGTACCAGTTTTTTGAGGCACGGCCACATGTGCACGTACGAACGGGTATAAAGAATGAAATGATGTAACAATCATGCGAATAAATCAAGCTGTTTGCCGATCACCTTGGGCGGTGAGCGGTGTCTCGTATGGCTGGAACATGTTGTGCTCGAGGTGCCCGAACCACGTGTCCAACTATACAACCGGGCCAAACTGAGACCTCCTAGCTGGTTGAACGGGATCTTGAAGGAAAGCCAAACATGCAAAAGTCGGAGTTTCTACTGGGTTCCCTCAAGCTCCCTAAGAAACCCTGAGGAACCCTAGGTAAGCCTTTGGTCTGATGCTAGTTGGTGGCAAGCGCTTCTTTGGACCGTGTCCAGATTGGGCTGCACATGCGAGTCTAAATCGGTGTTCTACGTCTTACCTAAGCCGCAAGCCGGCGCACGGCTAATGCGCAAGCTGTGGGCTCGTTCGCGAACGCGTGGGTCGAATGGCAAGGGAGACGAAGGGATAAAGGCCTGATCGAAAGACACGATCGTATGGTATACAAAAGTTGTCAATGGACCATAACGACCATTAAACCACACTTCCTGAGTCGATTCCCAAAAGGTACAAAGCCCAGGAACTCAGGAAGTGAGTAACAACAATTTTCTACGTGTCTGGCTTGGTCATTGCTTTGAGGGTGGCGGCAAGCCGGGGGCTGAGTTTTACTAGGGCACCCCTATGCGGACTCATCATTCACCTTCGGAGAATTGTTCACTACCCTTTTTGAAGGAGGTTCCACATCAAAGAAAGAGAGGGGGCGTTTTGTATAATTAGCAGAGTCTTCCAGATGGAAGGACACAGAAAAGACACACCTGCCCCGCTACTTCACCACTTGATTTCAGGCATCTCTTGGCCACTCATGGAAAGCGGCAACCTGAAGCCCCCCTGCTACCCACCAACATGGCCAAAGCAAGCAACTGTGAGCCCTTAGCAATGAACAACTTGTTGAGCACACCAGTCCAAACACGAACAACCCTTGCTTGGCCCCTGCCTAGTTGCCGAGCGGGAACCAGCTCTGTCTGGGGTTGATTCTATTTTCAGTGGGGAGCAAATGAATCCAAACTGGATTTGAAGAGTGGTAGAAACAATGTGTTGTGTTCCCAGGAGGGATCCCATTTTGATTCTCAGTAGGGAGCTTCTGAATCCACAAAAGGGATTCTGAGCAAGGCACGAAAAGGGCTTCCGTTTTGGGATGTATTTTATGCTCAGTGGGAAGCTTACTACTCCATAGGGATCTCAAGAGTGGAGAGAAAGGACATCCTTTTTTGGGGATGATTTCATTTTTAGTTGGGAGCACATGCAACTATAATCAACTGTGAAAAAAAAGAAGCTCCTTTTGGAGAGGATTCTGGGGATTGTCAGGTGACACTGCAGCGCGGCCCATTTTCATCCCGCGGGCTGCTGCGCGGCCGGCGGGCGGCGCCTTGCACCAAAGGAACGATCTCAAGGGGGTGGGGGTTGGGGTCGTTCAAAACTGGGCTGTCCTCAGACTCCCTGCGAAAAGTGACTCACTTTTAGTGGGTTCAATGGAAATCCCCACTAAACACTAAAAAGCTAAAAAGCTAAGGGGATGGCTGGGGGCATCAAGAAAAGTGATGGACCCGGCTTCGGTTGGAGGGAAACCAAAAGCAGACCGTTGTCGGGGAGCCATTTGTTGGATAATAAGCCCCCTCCGGAACCCTCTCTGAAAGCTGCCCTAAACTACCCCAAAGCCAATTTGGGCAAAGACCCCATAGCTTGCAGCTGTTGGGGACAAACATATGAAGAAAGCAATGAACCTCTGAGCCGGCCATCGGTACCTACCAGTCAGCCACACATGAATCAAGTTTATCAAGAAATCTTCGCAAATTACTATAGTTATCATGGCTACTGTCTCGTCTTACCGTCAGGCAAGATCGAGATAACTTGCCCGGATGCATGCTAAGGGACATGGGTCGGCGTTCAAATTGTTACGGAACCCCAAGGGGAGTAGGTACCAGGGGGGGTGGGTAGTTGCGAGCGCTACGGTTTCTTAGGGTTCCTTAGAGAGCCTTAGGAAAATTGGGCCATGGTTTTCTGCTGCATACTTGGACCCGCACCTGGGGTCTTTCTCAAAAGTCGAACCCGGGGAAGACGTCTGTCGGTTCCCCGGAAAGGGAAAAGCCATCTCCAAGCGGCGGCTTTTGGACTTTCCCAAGAAGCCAAAGGTGCTTGCCCTCCCTCTGGCAACTAAATCGCTTTAGAGCTCAGGCATCGATTTCTTTGCAGGCAAAACACAAAACCAAATCCGAGATTGATGCTGACTCATATCTGGGCCATGCTCATTTACTTCAGGTTCCACACACAGTAAAACGATCAGTCATGGTCATTTCCCTTTGCAACCCAAAGGGAAGATCAAACACATCTGCTCCATGAGTTCATGTATGACTTCGGATTGAATGCTTCAAAGACGGCAGGGCAGAAATTTGGGCAAAGGGAAACCGGAGGAAACCACACAACATGAGTCACAATCCAAACCCGGTATTAAAATGGTCTACCCAGAGCCCCAGAGCCATGTAAAGAAGTAAGAAGGCCGCCGCAGCTATTTATGGTTGGGATTGTCCCCTACTAACCTTCATCTAACCGGGTTTTGAGCAAGTGTTACTACCTTTGGGGTTTTATGTTGTTCTGCTACATGCTCGGGCTCGAAGCACCGCGCGGCACAGCGGCCTTTAGCGGCCGACTTCCGCCTCTTTTCCCCGTGGCGCGGGCTCGCGGCTTGTCGCTGATGGACACGAGTCATAATCAAAACCCGGTACAAAAATGGTGCACCCAGAACCATGCTTCAAGAACTAAGAAGGCGGCCGCAACTTTTTATGGTTGGGATCGTCTTGCTAACCTTCATCTACCCGAATCGGTTTTGATTGTGGCCCACATGCAGCCGCGAGTCGGGAATCTCCGGACAAAGGGACGGGTCCCCACCCTTGGCCTTTGGCCTTAGGCTAGTGGACCCCCATCTGAGCTCACAGCCCCGGGGCTCACGTCCGCAAGCGGGCCGCGGGCCCCATCAAACGGCTTCAAACCGCAAGGCCCATGGCACGCGCAGGCTGCAGGACAGCGTGCGGAAGGTGTCCCCAGTTGGGCGCGCCAGCTTGCCAGCGCCAGGTTGATGCCGGATTCCAATTTGATGAGTCAGGTTCTCCAAGCGAAACCTTGCACACGCCTCAAGCAGCGAGTCGATGAGCGCTGGACCCGGGTTCATGTCGCGAGCTCCGAGCCGATCCGCGACGTCATCTCCAACCGGTCACAAAGAGGATGATCTTGAAACGCTCAGCCAGCGTACCCGGCCCTGCAAAGGCGCGCTCGGTTGAAGATGTGCACTGACACAAGCGAAATACGGAGTCTATGAAAGCCTGCAATTTGCAGCGAATGCAAGTGAGGGAGGACAACAACAGTGTGATGTAAGAACTCAGCGAAAAGGCTATGGGAACATACCACTCTATGCCTCTCCGAACGTACAAATCAACAAACCATCAAAAGTGACCATCAAACTTGACCACCCAGCCCGATTTCCCCATGACTTCGGGGCTCCGAGCTTTTGGCTTTAGCCTGCAGAAACCAAACAAAGGTCCCAGCCAGCCCAGAGGAAAGGGTTCCTTTCGAGCCGAGCGACCCTGGACTTGAGAAAATATGTCCGGGGATGGATTCCCTTTAAAACCAACAGGGGAAAGTAAACAATCTCCGTTCCCTCCGTTTGCTTTTTCGTCCCCCTGGAAAAAATGAACATATGTCCAGTAGTGATAGATTTGACTAAAACCGACAGGGGAAAGTGAACCATCTTCTTGAGCAAACAGAAGATTCTGGGAAGGGATTTGGGTCTTTCGTCTATTCCGTGGCTCAACCACCGCAAGTTGGGGGAACCTATGTGCAACCCGACGCCTCCCCCGTCCCCGAAACCGCCTGCCGCTCGCCGCGTTGCTCGTCTCCCCGGCCATGTAGGCCGCGAAGGCGCCGAAGTCGTCCACCGCGGCCAGGAGCTCCAACAAGATGGTGCCATTCCTTAGGCCCCATTTAACAAAAAAAAAACATGAAATAAAGTTAACCAAAAGTCCATTCCAATGTTCTTTTTTTTTGTTTTTTATATATATAGAAGTCCATTGTGTCACGTATGTTAGTATGTTAGCCATTTGTTGACTCTCCGTTTTTGGTGTATGGTGTATTCAATTGAACTACTCCATTGGTTCACGTATGTTGGCTATTTGTTGATCCTCTGTTCTTGTTTAAATGTCGTACACAATTGAAATGCAAAGCCTCTCAAACAAATTTGCCGGGAAATATCTTCAGTCCCGGAACCTCCCTCAACAGCTGATTTGGGCAGAGACCAACATGTAGCTTTCAGCTGGGGCAAAACCGACACCAACAAAAACAACTCGGAAACTCCAACCATGAATTCCCAAAAACTCGGGCGGTACCAAGAATGGCTTGTTTTGTGTGGCATGCAGTATTTACAGGTACGGCAACCTAAGAGGGCGACTTTTTGGTGGATGTAAGCGGGAAACCCACTCCACAATCTTTGAAAAGGGCGCTCCAGGTCTGGGTGTCTGTCCCAAAAGGTCCAAGTACTTTCTGAGCCTGTACTTAAGCCCAGTTTGACCTTCAAGCAATTCCATCCTCAGAAGGTACCCAGAGACCCTTAGGGTCTGGGCGTGTTTTTTCAGGGTACTGTTTTCAGGTTGGGGCAAATGGAAACCAAAGGAGACCGCCCAATTTTTTTGGGTTTGGCACAAAACCGTATAGGTTCATAGGTGTCCTTCTAGGGGAAATAGATGGATTTCCCTGGTAGATGATCTTGCACCACCAGGTAAACCAGGAATCGCCACCTATTTTTCGAGCAAAATAACCGAAAAGGACCACCCAATTTCTTGGGGGGTTGACACAAAAAACGTGTAGGTTGGGGTAAAGGGAAACCAAAAGCAAAAGGATACCATTCAATTTTTCGGGTTTGGCACAAAGACCGCATGTCGTCTGTCTCAATCCGCGGCGCGTCTCCTTGCCCGCCAGGGCCGCCGCCTTAGCCGCCGCCAGATCGCGGTGCAGCAGCTCCTAACATGGGGCCATGGCCAGTGAACATCCGATTCAACCATTCTAAAATGGGTGGTGAATTCACCTACCAACCAAAATGGGACCAAAACGGTTTTGACAACCACAGCCATGGGAGTTGACGTGGCTCGGTACCAAAAAAGCGAAAGCAAACTCCAGCTCATGTCCGAAGCCTAGGGGATGCGAAGAAAAGGACTTAGCACGCTTCTTTGGCTGGTTGATGCTAAAGGATTGTCTAAAAAACAGGAACAAAGGGTGGAAGCATCGCATCCGGTTGAAGGCCCTGGTTGAATTTGATTGGGGAGTGACCATTTTAGAAGGGATCCGGATCGCTTCTCGGAGGGAACACCTGACTATTCATCTGCCTTCCTCATAACTTCGGTACCAACATTTCGTAGGTCCCCACCCTAGTTAGAGGGAAACAAACGAAAGAACAGCCTCGACCCCGTTTCGCGGAGAACCACACTTTCTGTACCAGCATGGGCCATATGACTTGTGGCTGCTTTCTCTTACGGGGATTCCCTTGGTATCAGAGAAATCCCCAAAAACTCCAACCATTCAAAAAATGCTTGGTCTAATATAACCCCCTTGGCTTAAGGAGTTTCATCTAAATTGGGTGTTTTGAGGCTGCCCCAAAAGCCACTTCGACTTCATGCATTCCACTGGTCCGGATCTACGACCCCTCGGTTCAACTTTTAGTGGATTAATGGAAAACACGTTGGCAAAAACCCATTAGTTGGCAAAACCCATGGTTTAATGGAAAACCCATGGTTGAATGGAAAACCCATGAGCTGGCAACAAGTTAAAGTCCTGACATCCCTTGGCAAAATGCACCAAAGACCCGCTCCTCAGGGACCTGGTTCTCCCGGCACCACCTGTCCACCTCCCCCACCACCAGCGCCCGGAACCGCTGGAAGCAAGCCATGCGCGCCAGACTGTGCTCCCCCTCCGCCGCCTCCTGCCGGATGATGTTTGTTTTTCTTTCGTGTGTTCCTTTTGTCTCCAGGTGTTTGGTTGTCTGTGTGCAGTCAAGCATGCATATATCTATATATATATATATATGTATATGTGTATGCATATGTATGTGTATATACATATATGCGCATATATATTAATATATACATTTTTATGTATATATATGAATGCACATAAAATGTGTGCGTGTATGTGTGTTTGTTCCTTCGTTCCAACCTTTGTTTGATGCTGCGTGTTTTTATTTGTTGTTTTTTGTTTGATTGTTTGTTTGTTTGTTTGTTTGATTGATTGGTCTGCTTGTTCGTGTGCTTGCTTGCATGTTTGTTTGTTTGTTTGGTCTGCTTGTTCGTGTTTGTTTGCGTGCTTGCTTGCATGTTGGTTTGTTTGTTTGTTTGGTCTGCTTGTTCGTGTTTGTTTGCGTGCTTGCTTGCATGTTTGTTTGTTTGTTTGTTTGTTTGGTCTGCTTGTTCATGTGTTTGTTTGCGTGCTTGCTTGCATGTTTGTTTGTTTGTTTGTTTGTTTGTTTGTTTGTTTGTTTGTTTGTTTGCTTTCTTGCTTGCTTGCTTGCATGCTGATTGTTTGTGTTTGTGTGTTTGCGGCTTGTTCATTTTTGCTTGTTTGTGTTTGTTGGTGCTCGTGCTGCTTCTATGTTTCTACGTGTCCTCTTGTTATTTATCTGCTCCTTTGTTTCTTGCTTTGCTTCTATGTTTCTTCCTATGATCTAGAGAATCAGCCATCAAGTCGTATGAACAATCAGCAGAGTTTTCCATGTCTGCACTGATTTCTCCGAATCCTACGATGCGCGCATGTTAATACATGTCAGGAATATTTCATCTTTAGGCACCAGTAAAGCATGAAATGTTCAATCCTGTAGACCCGTCATGTCAAATGTCAATGCTGACCCCTGATTTAAACCTCAAACATATTTTAGGCAGAAACAGGCTCCAGCCGTGTATGACCACGCCTCTCCCAGCAAAGCCGCACATTTCAGCGAGGTTCCAGCACACAATTTTGAGGACACAAACAAAACCAACCAGCTTAGGAAGACTCAAACAAAACATACATGTTACACTGGTACGCATTGGTTCCAACAAATGTGAGTGGCTCAAAGCAGGATACCCTGCAGGTTGCGTGTTTTTTTAGGGTGCTTGTTCAAAGGATCAAGCGACGCGTGTGTTCTTGATGGTTGCATCCCCTTCTCAATAAACATCACAATCTCAACACAACGCACCCCGAGGTGCTTCCGCTGTGTGTTGTGGGTAGACTCCCGGTGACTCATATCTCTGCGCTTGATACGCCCAAGCTGATAAATAAAACCCTTTCCGAAGCAAAATATTACACGACCAGAATGACAAAAAAGACAAGCCTGGTCCTTCGCGCGGCGAAGCGCTCGGTGACCCTTTTCTCCTGATTTCGCAGTCAGCTTCGAGGCCTACGCCCCAGGCCATACACGCACCTGTGCCAAAGATCCCAATCAGGAGGGAACTTGCCCAGGTCCAAAACATGCGCTGCAGAAGCGCAAAGCATTCAACCAAAACAAATGACAAAGCAAGCTTTCCAGTCAGCTTAGCAAAACTATATGCACGTGATGCAAGTCCTAGGCGTTCCTCCCTCCAGGCTCTGAGTTGCATGGTGATCCAGCAAACCCATCTGAACCACCATGCTTCAGATGCCTCTGTCAAGATTCTCAGATTGCAGCTGCTTCGGTGCCAGATCCTGGAACTCTCACTCACAGGATCCGCTTCAACGCTGTGCAGGGTTCACCGTACCGGTCTCTTCCCTGCCTCCGTGCAAAGCCGCTGCCGCGGCAGGCCCCAGTGAAGCGGTTGAAAAAAAAACTATCAAGTAGAACATCATAACTTCCGCAGACTCTTCAACAGGACAATCATGGATAATGCAACACATTCTCACAAGTGGCCGTGGTATGTCTTGATGGTGCCTCTCCGTAGAGGGATGTGTACATCGAATTCTGCGCCCCTCAGCCGACGAAGAGGCCGTTGGTCGCCGCCTGCACCGGCTGCCGGCAGAAGGGGCACACCTGCCGCCCGTGCTGCCGCAGGCAGCCGTGGCACATGGTGTGACCGCAGGGTGCCAGCACTGTCAGCGGCGCCCTCTCCTGACAAATGCCGCAGGTTTCCGAAAAGCTGCCCGCCGCGGGTGCGCGATGCGCGGGATTGGCCGCTGCCTTGACGCCGCGCCATGAGGCCTGGATCTCAATACAGCCAGCAAAGTCGGCACCGCGCACGCTCAAGCTGCTAAAGCCCAATGTCTCAAGCTGCGCACGAAGCTGGGGTTTCAAGCTGCGAAGAGCTCCAGGGCTCAAATCTTGGCCGCACCTCATGGTGCACGAGGTGAGCATTTGGCTGCGGCCCGTCTCCATGCACTTCGCCTTGAACGCGTCCACCTGCCGCTGCAGCCACTCCTGCTCCGCAGACTGCGTCTCATTGGCCAGCTGCTGGATGAAGGACTTCGGTCACAGGGCAGGAGGGCACCGCAAGTTGTGAAGTTTGCTTGACTTGAGACGCAAACTGCATCCATGGGCACAGAATGGGCGTTCCTCAAAGATCTGATGCCTCTCTCTCTCTCTCGCTCTTGAAAACAGACCACAGACCAAGAAGGGCGTACCCTCAACAAGCACGCATGAACAAATGACAACATGGGGGGGGCAACCCAACTTTGTCTCAGAACAGCCAACGTCCTCCGAATGTTCCCGTGTTTTTTCCTGGAAAGATAGACGAGCCACCCCTGGGATTGGATCGTCAAGAAGCTGCCCCCTGTGTCAGTTGGGTCACCTCCCTCTCTCCTCCGGCGCTGCCAGCGGGTCGACGCCTTTGAAGAGGGCGGCGCCCTCCGTGGCCAGGCGATCGATGGCGGGCTGGATGTGGTCCAAGTAGTGGGAGACCTCAGAAGCCCAGTGGCTTGTGTCCCATGTCCCATGTATACAAAATGAAAAAGAACTGGCACTCTTTTCGGAGTTGGTTGATTTGATGGGACAAATTTCTCCCAAAACAGGACTGATCGGACTGAGATATACTGAGATGGAGTTGTTCATGGATGGGTGTGGTTGACAGTGCTCCAAAGACCGCTTTGAGGTTCGGACCACGCCTGGTTTGGTTAGCTAAA